GGCCGGGAGGAGGGGCCATCCCAGAGGGGCGGCCCTGCGGCGCCCCGGTGGCCGCGAGGCGGGGTCGGGGCTCTGAAGCCTCGCTCTTGCAGGAGTTCTCCAGAGGAGCCGGCTGTGGCCAGGGAAGCCCTTCGGGGGGGAATGCGGCTTTGCCCTGAAGCCCGAGGCAGACCTGCACTGGAGCCCGCGGACGGGGGTCTCCCGGGGGGTCCTCACCCGCGGGGGGCGACCCCCCATCTCCCAGCCAGAGCACTCCTGGAATGTCCCCCACCCCTGGGGCCCGACCCTGCCCGCTGCCCATCTGGCTCCCGGCGCTGCGACCCCAGGGCCGGGCATCCAGGCCAAGCAACTTTCAGACGGAAGCATACGGGTCTGCGCTGCCCCCTGGCTGGCACAGACGGCTGGGGTTGCCCACCCGAGCAGGGAGCCCCACCCCGCTCCAGGGCTCCTGGGGGCTCATCTGGGCCCCTCTGGGGCGTCTTGGGAGGGAGGAGCAGGCCCCGGGGCAGGCCTCCGTCCCAGCCTCTCCTTTCCAGCAAGATGAGGGTCCCACTCCTCAGGCGGTGATTCTGTGCCTTTCCGTCCTTGGGCCAGACCCACAGATGCTTGGGGGTCGCCAAGCACGTGGCCCAAGCGGAGGACGGGCGCCGTGAGCTCCCGGCCATGGGGTCCTGGCGGGTCAATGGGGAGGAGAGCTGGGGCCCAAGGGGTGTGAGCTCAGCAAGGGGCCTGTGCCGGGGGGTTCGGGGCACAGGGAGATGTGTTGGGGCTCACCCTGTCGTGTGCGACCGTCACCAGAACCCAGCGGCCTCGAGGCGGAGCCGGCAGGAGCAGGGACGTGCCTTCCCTCCGGCTCCACCGCCCTGTAGTGGCAGGTGCGCCCCAGAGCCCTTTATGTAACTGTGAACTTCCTGGATCGTGGAATGGACCAATCAGGGGCGAGCTATGAGCTGATTGGTGCTAAATAGTCCTATCAGCCACAGGATTGAGAAATGGTCCAATCAGACTTGTGGGTGGGGCTGGAAGAGACTATAAGCCAGGGTCCCGCGGGAGCAGAAAGGCATGGCCAGTGCCCAAAGAAGGGCGATGCCAGCCTCCGAAGGAAGACGGGGAAGCCTCCGCTCCTGGCCTCCGAAGAAAGCAGACAGGGAGCAGCAGCAGCCGCCCTCCGAGGGAAAGGCGCCGGAGGCCTCTGCAGGGACGGGGTCTCGTCCTGTCTCTCCACCCCCGAAGGGAGCCCCGAGCCCGGCCTGGCGCCCCAAAGAGCTGTTTGTTGCTGGCGTCGCCCAACGGCGCACGCAGAGCTGGGACACGGGGTGTCTTTTGACACCGCCTCTGGGGGCCCAGCAGTGACCATCACACCGGCCAGTGCTGTCCAGACGCCTGGTGGCCGGCGGTGGTCAGCGCTGACACCGTCTGGGCGAGCTCGTTGTGCCCTGTTTGTAAGATGAGCCCGGGTGGTTCCTGGAGCCCGGGGTCTCTCGCAGCTGTGCACGGGGCAGACCCACGGACGGGGTCCTGTCCATCAGGCACGGTCTTTTTTGGGCTCCAGCCAGGGCTCCTACTGTGGGCGCTCTGCTGCCACAGCCCTTGGTTTCCATTCTTGGCCTTTTGGCCTTTGGGGCTTTTTGGTGGCTCCTGTCTCAGAGCCGGGCAGTTGGGTGGCCGCTCCATCCTCCCATCCGGCCTCCTGCCCTGTCGCCCTGCCCACCCGCTTCACAGCGTCCCTTGTCAAGCGTCACAGTGTTCCTTGTCACAGCGTCTGACCCGAGCTGAGATGAGCAGCGAGGGGTTCACAGAGGCTTGGTGTCTGAAGCCAGGCTTGGCCAGATTCAGGGGGCTCCTGAGCCCCAGCGCTCCCTGATGGGCAGGGCCCGGAGGGTCCTTGCAGACAATCGCTGGCACTGTGGAGCACTGGTGGACTTACGGCCTCACCTTGTGCTCCTCAACCCACAGTCTTGCTGTTGTGAGTGCAGCTGCAGGAGCTGGCTAGCCTTGGCCTTCTGGTTTCTGGGTGACGGGAGATGGCAGGACACCCCCAGAAAGCTTGCCCTGGCTCTGGGCATTTGCCTCCAGCCCTCCTTCCTGGGTGTGGCACGGCGCCCCAGCACAAGGGTCCGGCTTGCTCACTCCTGGTCAGGGCTGCCCCGAGGGTGAGGGTCACCTGCTGACCTGCCGTGGCAGCTGGCCTGGTGAAGTTCCACAGGCGGGTCCAGGCCACCAGTCCTGGCTTTCCCAGGAAACCCAAAGAAGAGGGGGGAGCAGGGAGAGACGGGGTGCAGGGTGGGCCTGGAAGAGGAACACGCAGGCCGTAGGCTTCCAGACTTCCCGCAAACCCTGCCAAAAAACAGGCCTCAGGATCGAAGGAGAGGCCAAGGAGAGGCCTAGGATCGCGGACATGTGGACTCTGGCCAGCAGGGGGCGCCAGGGGCACCCTCTGGCTGCAGCTGGGTGGACTCGAGGCCTTTCATTTTCTGGTGAGCGGACAGCCCCTCCGGACTCAGAACAGGGAGTCAGAACACAAGCCAACCTCTCAGGCACTCCCGAAGGGCGTCCATATCTCCCCTCTCCAACCCTGCCCAGGGGCAGGACTCCCGCGCCCGCGCTTTGTGCTGGGGGCGCCGCCCCAACCTGAAAGCCTCATGTGTTCCCTCGCGCGTGTTTGAAAATTCAGAAAGTGGACGGTGCAAGGAATCGCTTCGATGCAAACGGGCGTCTGTAGGTACAGGAGCCGGAAGGTCAAGGAGAAGACGAAGGAATCGCCTTCAGGCAAGGGCCTCGCCAGTTGAGGCCAGCGTGGAGCCCAGGTCCTCCACGGCGGGCAGCGCCCACAGCCCGCCCACGCTCGTCCCTGCTCTCTCCGGACCCAGACTGGACCCCAGGGCCCGCTTCTCCAGCCGCTGGGCCTGAGGGCGGGATGCCAGGAGGAGGGCGCGGCCGCCTAGCCATGAAAGCGGATGCTCCGCAGCAGCCCCTGGAAGCAGAGCCCAGTGGCTCATAAACATTTGGAAAGAGGCTCAACTTTGCATATGAACCAAGAAATGCCAACTCATCTTGTGCGCAGCCCCTAGCAGATGGGCAAAGGCCCAAGAGTGTGGGGGCGGCCCCCCATGGGGGGCGAGGGGAAGGCTCTGGGGCCGTGGGGGGGAGCGGGCGTAGTGCCCAGGCCTCTGGGAGGGTGAGGGGCACGGGCCCCGGGGGGCGGGGGCGTCCGGGCCGCATACTTGGCTGGTGAGACTGCCAGGCCCCGCGCCAGGACCAGGGACTTGCCGGCGAGTCTGACTCAGCAGCGGCTCTTCCAGGAACCAGCGCGTGGGGAGACCCGGACCGATCCCGCCTTCCCAGCGCTGAGGAGTTGGGGACAGCCTAAGCGCGGGTGGGGCGGGCGGGTTGCCGCCTCCTGGGGTACTCGGCAGCTGTTTTCAGAAGAGCAAGGCCGCCCCAGCGCCAGGAGGAAAGGCGGCGCCCAGATGGGCAGAGAGGGGGCTGGGCCTGGGGGCGCACCTCGGCCTGGCCAGGCTGAGGGTGACTGGCTGGGGCGGGGGGAATGGGACCCGGAGCAGGAGACCTTCCCTTGGAGCTTTGGGTTTCTTTCATTTCCGCACCCCGTGAATTTACTCCCCAGGGTCCAGCTGGGCAGGGAGTGTGGGGGCGCCTTCTCCCTGCATGCTCACGTGCCCGGCCACCTCTGCACTGACCCACCTTCTCGGGTGCTGAGGAGAGCATGGCCCCCCTTGGGAAGCCTGCAGCCTGTGGACAGAAAGTGCGGCGCACCCCTAAACAAGGAGTCTCCAGTCAGTGGCCACCTTGCAGCACCAGGGCCTGCTTGCTGCCCTGAACCCCTCGACCAGCCTGAGCACGTGCTGGCCAGCCTGCAGGCCTCGCCAGGACTCCGGCCAGCGCTGGAAGCAGCTGTCCCGGGTGGGGCGCTCAGCCTGCAGGAAGAGGAGCGGAGAGGCCGCTGTCCAGCCGCTCTCAAGAGGCCTCCGCAGGGTGGGCCTGCTCTCCGCACGGCCTCTCCCCTCCCGGCCCTCCGGGCCCCAGCCTGGGCTCGGCCCTATGAGTTTCATTTATTGGGCTCGTTTCTCCACAGGAGGGTCGCCCCACCCCAAGCCCACCTTAGAAACAGAAGACCCTACAGTGGGCCTTGCCGACGGGTGTGTGGCTGCTTGGGGTGTCCCCACATGCCCCCCACAGGAAGGCTGTCCCCACCTCAGCTTCCGCCAAGGGGTCAGAAAAGAGCAGAGGCTGGAAACTGGGAGCTGCTCAGTGAGCTGTGCCCCACACGCGCTCAGAACTGGCGGCTGAAGGGCTCCTGGTACCCCAACCCCAGGACCATGTCTTACACGGCCGCAGCCGCCCCAGCACGGGGCAGAGGGGGCATCGCTCACAGCAACTGGCAGGTCACAAACGGGTCTGGGAGGGAACAGGGGGGACGGTGGCTGGAGGTGCGTCCTCCCGGCTGGGGCAGCCCCTGGAGCGCCCGACCCCATAGCCCAGGCTTCTGCCCGCACCGCCACCCACAGGGGACCTGGGGAACCAGGGGGCCAGCACCCCTGGGCCTCGCTCCCTTCAGGGGCTGTAAAGGGAGGAACAAGCCCTTTGGGGGTTCCCGGAGACAGGCTCAGCTCTGCTCGCCACCCCCTGGCCGCAGTGGGCAGTTGGCCGTGGCCCTCCCCTGGCTGGATGCTGCCAGGCCGCTCTCCCCGCTGCAGCCTGGACCTCGGGCAGGGTAGGCCGCGGGCCCGGCTGCTCCTTAAACCAGCCAGAGCGCCGCCTGCGCCGGGCCGTCTCCTTGGCGGCGAGGAGGAAGGACGCACACACCTCGGTCCATGCATCTTTATTCCCGCCGGCCGCAGGCGCCCACACAACAGCTGAGGCTGGAAACGTGAGAGAAACCGGTGAGTGAACCAGGGCCACGGCCCGCCCGCCCGCGCAGGGCAGGGCCACCATCCGCCCGGCCCGCCGCAGGCCTGGCAGGCCCCGGGCGCCGCGCGAAGCCGGCAGGGAGCGGCCGTCACAGACCTCCGAAGCACACACTGGCCTTTTCTGTGTCTTGGAAATGTTATAAAATTTTTTAATAGCAAAACATAGGAATAGAAACATATTAACAAAATGTATTCGGTTTTCGTTACAAACCAGGAGTTGGGGTTCACTGCTGGACCCCGGCAAAAGGAAGCGCCCGCTGGGGCCTGCGCCAGGCGCCCTGCACACGGGCAGATGGGGCTGTGCCCGGCCCTCGGCCAGCCCCACAGTCAAAGTATCAAAACTCTGTTGGCTCGTAATAAATTTACACTTAAAAAAAACCCGGTTTCCTGTTCAGAATGTTCCAGTAGAAGTTGCCAGCGGAGGCGGCTGTTGGTGACCTGGGGTGGCGGGAGACGGGCGTGGCGCGCGGAGGAGAGAGCCGTCCAGTGCGCTCGGCGGGCGGGCGGCGACCTCAGGGCCGAAGCACTGCGCCCCGGAGGAGGAGGAGGGCCAAGGGGCACCCCAAGTGGCAGGGGCGCCCCGGCTTGTGGGCTTGCCCAGCGCAGGCACGGAGGCCGCGGGCGGGGCTGGCGCCGGGCACGTGCTCAGGCGCTGGGCAGCTCGTGGGCGATGAACTGCTTCAGCCTCTCCAGGTACTGCGCGTACAGCTCGACGTCGTTGTGCCCGGCGCCCTCCACCCAGAGCGGCTCCACGGCGCGCGGGCAGCGCTCGTACATGGCCAGGCCGTGCGAGAAGTCGATGACCTCGTCCTCCGTGCCGTGGATGACGAGCACCGGGGAGGTGACTTTGGAGATCTTGTCAATGCTGGAAGACAGGGGAAAGGCCTGGTTCGGGGTGGCGCGGGCCCACCCCCGCGGCCCACAGGGCTCCCCTCGTTTCCCGGAGACAGTCCCCTGGGGTCGTCCGGCCCTGCGGGAGCAGCACAGGCAGCCGGGCAGCCGAGCACCCGCCCCAGACGCAAGCCCCACACGGGCACCAGGGACTCCCGTCAGAACCGGGGGCCCACGATCCCACTTTCTCAGCGCCCCGTTCCCGCCGAGCCCTTCCTCTGGCCCAGGGGCCCAGTAGGTGCTGAGCACACGCAGGGGCTGTGACAGTGTGGCCCGGCCAGTGCAGGCCCCGGAGCCGTGCGGAGAGCAGGCCCACCCTGCGCAGGCCTCTTGAGAGCCAGCTGGACAGCGGCCTCTCCGCTCCTCTTCCTGCAGGCTGAGCGCCCCACCCGGGACAGCTGCTTCCAGCGCTGGCTGGAGCCCTGGAGAGGCCTGCAGGCCGCCAGAGCCCATCCCTCGACCGCCGTCATGCCCAGGTGGACACCGGTGGCCACTGCTCACCAAGGGGAGCCTGTCTGCAGGGGTGGGGACCCCAGGCCCCTCCACAGGCCTGAGGCTGAGCCTCCCTGGAGGAGGCCGGCAGGCGGCCACAGAGGCGACCGTCCCCCAGCAGACGAGCCTAAGGCTGTCCAGGCACCGCCCCCCATGGCGTCCTGTTGCCAGGGCAACCCCGGCTCCATTTCTGGCAGGCACCCACCTCCCACGCCCAGTCCAGTACGGGCCCCACCCACCCACCCACCCGGCACCCCAGCCGGATCTCACGCCCGACGGCCTGGAGCCGGCCTGGCAGAGGACACCGCGGGCCCCCGGTCTCGGGCCAAGCAGCTGTGGAAGGATTTTGCAGCCCCAGCAGCGTGCGGGAGCCGAGGCCAACTCCAGTCACTCTGCTAGAAGTGCATCCTCAACCCGGGCTTGAAGACAGAAAAACAGGCGGGACGCCCTCAAGCAGGCCGCTGACCCCGGTCTCTGCACACCCCTGCTGCCCTGCCCGCGGCTGACGCGCCTCTGAGGCGGGCGAGGACGGGGGGCTCAGGTGGGTGCTGCTGCGAAGATGGGCGCGGGGCACGTCCCTCGCCTACCCTGCCCTGGAGGGGCGCAGACGCCAGGGCTGGGGTGAGCCGGGGAATGGCCCGAGGCCCCTCCTTCCACCCACACCCCGCCCAGTGGCCCGACCCCAGTGCCAGCCAGGGCCTCGCGTGCCGCCTGCTCCCCGCGGAGCGCACGCAGGCGGGCGGGCTCACCTGGGGAAGGCGTCGAAGCAGTAGGTCTTCCGCGTGTCCGGGAACGCCACGCGCAGGCCCGACGTGAGCGGCGAGTGCAGGATGACGGCAGCGCACTCGTAGCGCGAGGCCAGGTCCACAGTGGGCACAGTCCCGATGCTCTGGCCGTACAGGATGATGTTCTCGGGGCTCACGCCGTACCTGCGACAGCGCAGGGTCAGGGGCTGCACACCCCGCCCGCCAGGCCCCACCTCCGGGAGGAGCCTGCCCACCCGCCTGCTCAGCACCCCCCATGTCTGCACCCCGTCTCTGCCCTGAGCCCGGGAGGCCGCCCTCCGCACCGCAGGAAGAACCCCCAGAAATTCCATGGTCAGGCTTGGGTCTTTTTCCTTGTCCCTGCCTCTACTTTGCTTCCAGAACCTTCCACGTGCCTCTTCATCCCTTTTGAAAGTAACAAACCCACAGCATGGGATACAGGGAGGAGGGAGGAGGGGGGAAGAGGGAGGGGGCGCAGCTGCCGCTCATCCCGACAGCAGTGGACACAACGCCCAGGCCAGGCCCCGCCAGAAGGGGACCAGGCAGGGATGGGGGCCAGTGTCACGCTTCGCCTTCCAGGGGCTCTCGAGCCACCCTGCTCCCCACCTCCCACCTCCGTCTGGCTCCTGCCCTGAGCGAGGGGCGCTGCTGGGAGGCCCGCCCTGGGGTACTCTCCTAAGATCTCCGAGCAAGGTTTTCAAGCATGAAGATGCTGAAAGCTTTAGAGGAAAGCAGCGTGCCTTCTGGAGGGGTCCAGCTGGGCCACGCCGCAGCCTCTGAGGCCAGCCCACCCCCCCTCAGGGAGGATGTGGAGGGGAGACCCCAGAGCCCAGCGCCGGGGCCCCAGAAGCACGAGAGAGCTGGGAGCACTGGTGAAGGGGCCGGGGAACTGCAGGCAGCAGGCGGCCGGGCCCAGGGCGCAGGGTGGAGGGGGAGCAGGGCAGCTGGGCTGCAGGGAAGCAGGGAGCTACGGCCACTCTCCCAGGGCCCCTGAACATGACCTCCCCCAGCCCAGGCGCAGAAAGCGCCCCAGGAGCCGGGTGGAGCACACGCACCAGGGAGGCTCTCGGGACGTGGCCTTTCTGACCCTCCATCCCGGGCCCCCGGGGACGTAAGAGCTGGAGAAACAGGCAGGCTGCGGCTGGGCGGCCCTGACCGACCGGGCAGCGCCGGGCTGCCCCCAGCGGGCAGGGACTCTGGCTGGGGCTGGGCTGCTGCCCGCCCCGAGGGGACAGTTCCCACGTGCACCGCCGGCCTGCCCTGCTCCTGCCTCAACTCCCGGCCCCGGCCCCGCCCCAGCAGAACTCAAGGAACCCAAAGCTGGATGCTGCCCTGGCCCGGCCCGCCCCCAGCCACGGCCACCATCTCCCAATCGCAGCCTCCTGCCCCCACCATGCCAGCCAACACCCCTGGCGCAGCATTAGAATTCACCCCAAATCTGACACCTCTTCACACCCCTGCGGCCACCCTCTGGCCCAAGCCACCCCACCCCCCAGCTGCAGGGGGTGCGCCCCTTCCCTCCCTGGTGCCAGGGCCCCACGCACGGCACCAGAGGGTCCTGCGGGACCCCAGGTCAAACCACACCTTTCTCTTCCCAGAGCCTCTGAGGCCCGCGTCCGTGCTGTGGGTCAGCATCTCCAAGGGCCAGGGAGCCCTGGACACCCCGCCCCCGCCCCGGCCTCTCAGCGGACGGGGCCGTTTGTGTCTGTTCTGCAAGAACGCCTGCTCCACACCTGTGCTACTGAGCAGGCCGGAGACCCCTGCACAGTGGTGTCCGGGAGGGCTGGTCACCGGGTGCCCTGCATGGCTCCCCGGAGGGAGCCGCAGCCCAAGAGGGCAGGCAGCCTGCAGGCCAGTGCTGAGTGCCCACACCCAAGCATCCAGCGTCACGTGCGCCCCCTGAAGCAGGGCCTCCCCTGGCCCCTCAGGGGCTCCTCCAGCCACCCAGCCCCCACCAGGCCTACACTCCAGGGGGGCTCCCAACTTGCTCACCCAGGTCCCGGGGAGCCGGCCCCAAGGCACGAGGTGTCCAAGGGGCTGTCCGCCCCTGAGCAGGTTCAGCCCTTAGCCACTGCGTGCCAAGCTGTGCTCTGGGTCCCAGTCGGGGAGGAAGGGCTGGGCACACAGGCGAAGCCCCGGCCGGCCCTGGGCAGACCACGGGGGATGGGGGCGGGCAGGGGCTCGGGTGCAAGTCACCAGGGCCGGGCAGCACCGGGCTGCAGGGCCAGCACGAGGGGCCGCGATCAGGCTGCCTGGAGGGCACAGGCTGAGGACCCCTCGGGGGCAGGCGCCTAAGCACTCAGCCCCCCTCTGTGACCACCCTGCAGCCCCACATGCCCAGGCTCCGCTTCCAGGGTGTGCTGGAAGTTTCCATGGGGAAAGTGCATGTGCTGCAGTGAAAGGTCTGGCGGGAACCAGAGTTACTAGGGCGAAAAGGCATCGGGTAGGGAGCCCACCCAAGGGCGAGAACGAGGACCTGCTGACGCCATCAGAAAGCAACTGTTCCTCGTTACCTGCAAGCCCGGTTTCCCTCTGCCCAGCCTATAAAAACCTGCCGTCCCCTGACAATAGGCGCCGCTTCCCCGACCCCCACCTTGGGCCCGCGAGGTTCGCCCGGGAACGCACTAAAGCCCCCGTGTAAACTTCCTCTGTCCCTCGTCTTTCCCTCCTCGTCTTCCCTGCAGAACCTGTCATACAGCTGCCTGGAGACAGGGCTGGGGGGCCACAGCAGGTGGGGGACGGCGCCCAGCAGAGGACAGGCCACTGCCTGGTCTCACTTGGGCTCAGAGAACCACCACCCGGGGCTTATTCAACAAACAGGGGACACCGGCGTGTCTGAGGCCCCGAGGGCCAGAGCGGCCGGCCAGTGGGATTCACCGCAGGGGCAGGTGGGGTGGGCAGCGCAGGTCTGGTCCCCAGGGGGCCTGGGCCACCAGCAAGGCAGCGCTAAGTAACAGACCTGGGCCTGGGGGGTCCCCTGGCGGCAGCGGCAGCAGGATCTGAGGCAGGGGTGGCGCCTGCTCTCTCCCTCAGTTGCAGGAATCTGCTTCTGTCCCCCTCGAGGCGGCACAGGGTGCCAGGCAGCCCGTCTGGGTGTCCCAAGCAGGCGCCACCGCCGCTCTCTAGCCCCCCAACTTGATGCCTCCTGACTGGACCATTTTCAATTCTAAGCGACTGATTGGGCCACTTTAGCACCAACCACCCCCTCTGGTGCTGACATTCATCCAACGGGCTGGCGAGCACAAAGGTTCCTCCAGCTCACACCTCATTGTGCATTCCCGACCCGGGTGCCAGGGATAGAAAGGCAGCCCCCCGCCACAGGCCCCGGGGCCAGGCAGGGGCGACTCTGGGCAGCCAGTGGGACAGCAGCTCTGGCTCCCTCTCAGGGGCAAGGCTGCCTGCAGGTGGCAAAGGCGGGAAACGGCCACGTCTTTCCGACACGCGCACCCCTTAGCGGTGGGAAAATGCCAGCCTTGCCCGCGGTGCACGCTGCGCCCGGCTTCAGAACGAGTGGCAGCGAGTCATCAAGCGTCACTGTGAGCAGGCCAGGCCGGCCACAGCCTCCGTGCGCTCACAGTGACGGGCGCGCGGCCCCTCCGCCCGCCTGCTGAGATAAACGGCGCGGACCGCACGAAGCCTCTGGGTGACGGGAGTGGCCAGAACCCACCGGGACGGGGCCCGGAGCACCCGGGCATGTGTGAGTCTGGGGCAAGCAGGCGACTGCGGCCACCCGCAGACAAGCCCCCCCGGCGCCCCAAATCTGCGTCCACACCGGCGGCGGCTCACACGTCCCGAGGCCGCCACGGCCAGCACGGCCAGCCCTGGGGACGTGCGTGACCACCAGCCTCTGTGGACTCAACCCACAGGCAGATCCCCGGGCCGGGTTTGTCTCCCCCCTTCATTTTAACCATTGCTAACTGTCCCGGCAGCCGGCGCAGGGAGGGTGCTCCAGCCCCACCGTTCCCACCGGGGGCCGGGTCGGGGGCCGGCCCATGCGGCAGGTAACCCACAGCTCCCGCCGGAGCGGCCTCTGCCCCGCCACACGTCCTGGAAACAGAAGCCTCCGGTTTCAGGTGGCGCCCGGGCCCTTCACACTCAAGGTCATCAGCAGGGGCGTCGCCAAGCAGCCGGCACGCAGAGCCCGCGGCCGGGAGGTGGGACGCTCGTCCTGAGGGCCCGGCCCCCCCCATCGGAGAAGGGGGCTCCATGCGGGAGGTCACCCTTCTATGAAGCACCGCCAGGGTGCCCCTGCTGGGGAGCGGGGGTCTGCCTCTTCTGCCCCGATGAGACAACAAAGAACCCTGGATTTTTCCAGAACACAGCTTGCTTCAAGAGCCGGACACACGCTCACCACACAGCTGCACGCGTGGTCCGGAGCCCGCTGCCCCCCGAGACGCCGCCAGGCCGTGGGCGCTGGACCAAAGGGGCTGCCATGGATGGGCGCTTGCGGTACCCGGGCCCGCCTGGGCCCACCTTTTGTTTTTATTATTATTTTTTTGCTGATTAAAGGGCAGATCATCAGGAAAAGAAGAGAGAGAAGGCACCTGCACGGCCACGGGTGCGGCGCGCTGCCGGCCCACCTGGGAACCAGCTGGTCCCGGCGACGGGCCGGGGGCGACACGTTTCCCAAGTTCCAGGCCCCAAGTTCATGTAACTCTGTTGAAGAAACCCTGTCAGATGCACTGAGACGTCTGGGCCTCGCCGCAGCCCTGCCCAAGCCCTCCCTACCCTGACGGTGCCCCCTCCCAGGCATGTGGGGTGCCAGCCCCCCAGGAGCCCACCTCATGCCGACTCCGCCTCTGGGCGGCAGAGCCCCACGCCCCTGCAGTGACCACGGGTGGTGACGGGCGCGGCTGCCTCCCAAGGCCCTCCTCTCGGGCCCCAGGGCTGCGTCACTTGGCACGAGGGGCTGGCCGCTGGCCGTGGGGCTCACCTCAGGGGCCGGGGGATGGACTAAAAGTTCCTCTTTCCACATACCCCAACCCCCCTCCAGGGCCACCCCAAACAGTCATCTTATAAACTGGCCGAGAGACACCTTATCGGACTCCACATGTGGGCACGCCCCGGCTCTGGGGCTCTGGGGTGCTGGATGGTGAGCCGCCCCTGTGGGGCTGGCCAGGTAAGCCTGGGAACACAGGTGAGCACCTGAGAACCGACCAGACTGTGCCCAGTCTCGACGTCTCAACCCACTGCAGGGTTTCATGTGGAAGCAGCAGCCTGGCCGGCAGCGGAGGGAACCCGCCTGGGGCAACACACCAGGCATCTGCCTCTCCCACCCAGGCCGTGCCCCGCATGTGCCTCCTCACCCTCCTGGCTCACTCAGGGGCGAGGCTTCTGGAAGGGCCCACGGCCCCTCCCGTGCTGCCGCAGAGGACTAGGCGGGTCATGGACAGCCCCAGGCCAGACACCAGCAGCCCCCCCACCGCTGGGTTACCTGGCTGAGTCACACCTGTCCACAGCGGCCCACTCCCTCTGAAGCGGGGCAGGGGCTGGCTGGGGAGGCTGCCCCGGGCAGTGGGTCACGGCCTCTTGCATGAGGCCACTTCCCATGGGGCTGCGCTGTCATGGCAGCGTCCCTCCCCAGGCACTTCCAGGTGAGTCCAGCTGGCTGCCCTTAGGCTTTCTCAGGCCCCTGTCCACTCCTGGGGCCCCAAGGCCGAGGCAGGGTGGGCTCTGGGTGGGACTGGGCGGCCGGCCTGAGGGCGGAGTCTCCGGGAGGGATTTGGCCCTTTAGAGGCAGCCCAGCGCGTCCCCTGCCCCTCACCTGAGAGTCCAGAAGAGCAGCCACCTGTGGCCAGGCTCCAGGGAGGGCTGTCCCCCACGTGGGCCCCCAAACCGTGCTGCGTGTGGGCCCAGACCCCGCCTGCTCTCCAGGCCGCCCACCTGCCCGCCACTTTGCCTGTCCAGCCCTGTGGACCCTGGTGGCTCCCGCCCTAGGGTCACCTTCGGGGTGCCCACCCGGGGCCCTATTCAAGGATTCGGCCAGTCGGGCCCTGTGCACTGGAGCTGGCCAGACTGGGGGAGGGAAGCTGCACCCCTTTTCTGGCTGTGGGGGCTCCTGAGAACATGGAGCTTGCAGGTAAAAGTCCATTCAACTCCTACAGAGGAAGCCAGCTTGGGAAAGCGGGGCCCACCCCCAGCACTTTTGGGGTGCCCCTTGCCCAATTCCAGAGCAGACATTGAGCGAGGCCTCAGATCTGATGGACGTGGAGGCCTGTGCGGCCCTTGATACGCTGGGAACATGGGCTCTGGGCTCTGCACCCTCCCCACACAGCAAAGGGTGCGTGCCAGGGTCACACAGTGCGAGAGGGCCGGGGTACACAGCTCAGGCACTGCCTCCCCCAAGAGACAGACCAGGTGAGCGCCCCCATGTCGTGGCCGCGGGGTGCCCGGGACAGCAGAGAGAAAGTGCTCCAAGGAGACGTGGACTGGGCTGGAAGGTGTCTCCTCAGCCACCGGCAGTGGGGAACAGTAGGGATGTGCACAGTGGGAACACGCACCGTGGGGAGCAGTGGGGACACGCACAGTGGGGAGCAATGGGGAGCAGTGGGGACACGCACAGTGGTACAGGCGGGCAGCGCCCCAGGGTGCAGAGGCTGACGCGGGGAGCAGAGACTGCGGGAAGCAGGCAGCTCAGACCCGGGCGCTCTGTCGTTAGGACCCCACCGCAGACGGGCGGAGGCGCCGGTCGGGCTGAGGGGAAGCAAACGTGGTGACTCGCAGTCGAAGATCTTTCTGTTTCTTTTGTTCAATTAAATGAATAAGTAGACACAGAACGTGGCTGCCTCGTGCCTTGCCCAGAGAGCTCTGGGGAAGCAGCCGCCTCCCCGCAGACCCAGGGTGCAGGCCCTGGGCCCCCAGACCCGGGGTGCTCCGCTGGGCACCCCCCAGCGATGGGCTTCTCGCTGTGGGGGTCACCGCCACAAGCTGAGCCGAGTCGGACCCAAGGTCCTGCCCAGGAGGCTCCCATGGGCCCTACGGCCCTTGGCGAAGCCCAGCCCACGTGCCGCGGTGCCCGTCCAGAAGGCGTCCTGCACAAAGCCCAGAGGCGCGGGCCGGGCGAGGTGGGCCTCGGGGTCATGGAGACTGGCCTCAGGCCAAGACGGCGTCCCTAACGGAACCGAACGTGAGGCGGGTCTCCGAGAGCCAGGTCGGCCTCCTGCTCCTGGTAGCAGAAGCCCCGCATTCGGCACACAGGGGCCCGGGGGCGGCCAGGGGGCGAGGGCGTCCTGGGGAAGCTGCCCAGGGAGGGCGACGCGGGCCAGCAGCGAGCCCAGTGCCCGGGCTGTGACACGCGCATGTGAAGCTCCTTCCCGGAGCAGGTGGCGGTGAGCGACTTGTGGATTCTGACCCGGTAGCTGCACCGGAGATGCTGTCGTCTGCCCGACCCGTCACGGACTCCGCCCCTCAAAGGACAGCCGGGCCCCAGGAGGGCACCCGCCAGCCCGCCCCGTGCCCAGACTGGGGCGGGCAGGGGCACGTCCATTGGCGCCGGCCGCTCACGGAGCGCAGCCCGCCCCATGGTCTAAAGAGAATTCTGCCCAGGGTGGGTGTCCGGGCGCCTGGCCGGTGTCCGGCGGGCGTCTCCCCTCAACTCCACCATGCGAGGCAGGTGGGGAAGCCTCGGACACAGAACGGGCGGAGCCGCGGGGGCCTGTGCCACCACTGCCCGCCTCCCGTCGGATAAGACATCTCCAGCCTGCCTCTCCTGCCAGGTCGGGCCTGGAGCCACGACCCCAACGCCGCCCTTGCGGAGGCTTCCCAGCCCGCCCGTGGGCGCCACTTCAAGGTCAGGAGGACCCTCCCGCTGCGACTGAGGTCCGAGCTCGCCGGCCTGGCTGAGGCGCCCGGCGCACCCATCACGGACTTCAGCCAAGGTGTCGCCGGCCTTCGGGGCCAACACGCTGCCCGGCCCCTGCTCTGCCAGGGCCGCCCCGCGAGGCCAGCGGCCCCGTGCACCGAGAGGCCCTGGGGTCTCCGCACAGGCCCCAGGGAGGGCCAGGGACCGCTCCTCACCCAAGGTCACCCCGCCCGCGGACCTGGCCGCAGCCGCCCGAGGTCCCGGCGGCCCGGCGGCGCCTCCGGCCCCCCCCCCGAGGCCCCCCTCCAGCGGCCGGAGCCGCCCGCCCGCCCGGCCCGGCCGGAGGAGCGCGCGGGCGCGCGGGCGGCTCACCGGGTGCGCAGCGCCTGCCAGGCGGCGTCGATGTCGGCGTAGAGGTTCTTCTCGGAGGGCCGGCCCGAGCTCGCGCCGTAGCCCGAGTAGTCGTAGGAGAAGACGTTGCAGTTGATGCGCGAGCCCAGGCCGAGGTAGAAGCTGCACATCTGGCCCAGGTCCACGGCGTTGCCGTGCGAGAAGAGCAGCGTGTAGCGGCCGGCGGGCGCGCAGCGCACGAACATGCAGCCGAGGCGGTTGCGGCGCGCCGTGCGCGAGAAGAAGACCTCCACGGCGTCCAGCTCGCGCTGCGAGTACTGCCAGTCGGCGCGCGCGCTCAGGCGCAGGCTGCAGGCGCCCGGCGCGGGGCCCTCCTCGGCGGGCGGCGCGGCGCTCGGGGCGCCCGGGGCGCTCGCGGCCGGGCCGGGGCGCGGGGCGGGCGCGGGCGCGCCGGGGGCGCCGGGGGCGCCGGGGGGCTCGGGCGCCAGCACGGCGTAGGTGGGCTCGGGCGGCAGGAAGGCCAGCTTGGCGGCGATGCGGCTCGGGCAGGGCGGGCAGCAGAAGAGCCAGCACAGCTCGCCCAGCGAGAAGCCGCTCATCCTGGGGCCGGGCTCGGGCATCGGGGCGGCGGGGGGCCCGCGCCGCCGCCCGGGGGCGGGCGCGGGCGCGGCGGGGCGCGGGGGGCGCGGGCGGGCGGGCGGGCGGGCGGCGGCTCGGCAGGCCCCGGGCCCGGGAGGCGCCGGCCCGGCCCGCGCGGCACACAAAGCGCTGGAGCGCGCCCCCGCCGCTTCCGGAGCGCGCGCGCCCGCCCGCCCGGCCCGCGCGGGGCGGCCCTGGGGCGGGGCGCCCCCGCCCCTCCCCACCCCACCCCGCCCCGCCCCGCCCCGCCCCGCGCGGGGCTCACCTGCCGCCGGCCCGCCGCGGTCTCCGGGCGCCTGGGCCGCCGGGGCGCGCGGGTTCCCGGGGGACCTGGAGGGCCCGGGCACCTTCGCCCGCGCGGGAAGTTCTGCGGGACCCGCTGGGGCGCCCGGACCCCGGGATGGAGGAGCACCTGCCGCCGCTCCCCAGAGGGCCTGGGCGGTGGCCGGTGCCCTCCCAGATGGGCTGTGCCCACCCCACCCGCTTCCCTTGCCCAGATCTAAGTTTCCTCTCAGATGGAGGCTCTCGGGGTGGCAGAGCCGGAATAAAGCGGAAACCTGTGGCTCCAGCGGGCTGCGTCTGCGGCCCCCGGCTGCCTGGCCTCCCTGGGCGGGGACCTCGCCCCTGTGCCCACCCCGCTCCCCGCGGGCCAGCCGGGCTGTGCGGGTTGCTGTCTTGCGGCCGGCCTTCCCGGCCCCACAGCACACTTCCCGGGGCACCGCGGTCCCCCACGGCGCCAGCTCTCCGGCTGCCTCAGGCCGGGGGGTAAGAGACTTAATGGGGAGACATTTCTTATCCGGGCTCAAGCCCACCGGCACCTTGGTGTCCACGGACACTCGGCGGCTTTTTCAGAGACAGCCGCTCGCAGACCGTGCCTGCCCCGTTCCCAGGCGCACCCACGCCAGCAGGCAGGGCCGGCTCCACGCACACCCAGAGGGCCTCTGGGGTCCAGGCTTCCCTCTGAGGGGGCTGGGCCACCCTGCCGGGAAAGGAGCAGGCCCTGCTCGGCCTGCCCCGCCACCCACAAATGGGTGGAGAGAAGGTGCCCGCCTGTGTCTCCCCCCAAGGTCAGGCGCTGGGCCCAGGAGCTATTCCTAGTGGGCAGGCCGCAGGCCACCGTGAAGCTGACCCTGACCTTATGGCCCAGCGCAGCCTCCAGCTCTGACTGTGTGTGGGGGTGTCGGTGGGGGTGTGGCCACAAGAGGGGGTGCTCATGGTCAGCACAGTGGCTGCCAGCAGGCACGCTGGCCCAAAGCTGGCATCTGCTGCTCAGAAAGACAAAGTGAGCCCTAGAAGATCACGGCCAGGGGCACCCGGCATGTCCACTGTGGCCTGGAGGGATTTCTGCGAGACACCCCATTTCCATGACAGAAAGGTGTTTCTCTGGGCCTGGGGCAAGCACAACCGCGGGGTATCCCCAGGAGTCGGGCTGAGTGGGCTGAGAACTCAGAGCTCATGCCCCCCGCCCCCAGGCTCCCCTTCTGCCCTGGGCGGCGTGTCCTGGGTGGGAGGGGCAGGCGGTCTCTCGAGGCCACCCCGTGTCCCTCCCCGGCGAGAAGGCACAGGCCCTGGGGCCGCGGGGAGGGTCTGCTCACCCGGGAGCCCGGAGTCCGGCTCTGGGACAGGAATCCAAGCACCTGCTGCCCCACTTCCGTCCTGGGGCCCAGGACAAGGTCGGGTGTTTCCGCCCCCAGCCCCCTACCCTCCGCAGGCTGGCGTTGCGTCCTCCGGCACAGAGGTTAATTGGGTCGGGGGTGAGAGGAGGGGGGCGCGTGAGCACATGGAGAGACGCAGCAATTTGGGGGACCTGGGGAAGGTGCAGAGCCTCCCCGAGCCAGCCTTCCAGTGGTGGGGGTTTCCACGTGTCCTCCAGCTGGACCGACCCCCATTCCATACTAGAGCCTGAGTCTGCCAGGCCCAGAGGCCGTTGCCGCCGGGACACCCCTGGTCCTGGGTGGAGCGCCCAGGGGCTCCTGGGAAGCCCGGCAGAGCCGCCTTTGGCCGTCCCCAGTGACCCCGAGGGGCCCGGGAGCTGGGCTCGAGCCACGGCAGCCCCTTGGCGCCATGAGGGTGAGTCTCGCGCCTGAAGATGGCGGAGAAGACGCAGAGCCCGGCCCTGCGGCCCCATGGAGGCTGCCCCCCACCCTGGTCTGGCGCGGAGTGAGAGGCTTTCCCGGTGTGGGGAAGGGTTTTGCCGACCGACCGGGCCCAGCGCTGCATCAGCCGGCTCGGGGCGCAAGGAGGGCTCTCTCGACTGCCTTCCCAGTAAGCCAAGGAACAGGGGAGCTGCTGCGCCTCCACCCTGCTGCTCCCCCACAGAAAAACGTTCAACGACGACTAAGCCTAAGACTGGTGTCTGCTGGTGCACACGTCTGAGCTGGGCGATGAGGCCGCGGCTGTGATGAGAGCGAGGGGCCCTGGCTGGCGCGGGGCTGGTGCGCTGGGAAAGCGTCGGGGCACCCGCATCCCTTTGTCAGGCTGGGGACTGTCCCCCAGGGCTGCAGGAACTCGGTGCCTGGACTCCTGTGGGGGCTGGAGCCCCTCGCGCACAGGGAACCCGCCGGAGGGGCCGGAAAACACGACAGCCCCCCACCCCGCCCCGTCTCCCTGCACCTGTGCTGGCCTCTCCGGCCACCTCCTCCCGGTTCCTGGCCAGAGGCCCAGCCGGGTCAGAACTGGCCTTGGTCAGCTGCTCAAGGTCAGCGCTGTGCCTGATCGGCACCCAACACCCCTCCCCAAAACAGGCGTGTCCCTGACTGGATGGCACACTCTGGTCATTTCTAATCACTTTTCCTAAGTCAGCAAAGAGGTGAGCGCTAGAGCAGGCTAAGTCAGTCATTTTTAAAGTGGGACGTTCGGGGGCCTCCCTGGTGGCGTAAGAGGATAAGACACAACCTATGAAGCTGTCCGCAGCCACTGCAGCACGAGTTCAATCCCTGGCCAGGGAGCTACCCACCCGCACAGCAGACCTCTCCTGTCTCCCCGCTGCTCCCCTCGGCAGTGGATTTCAGTGGATCTGCCTGTTCTGCTCCCCACTCTGTCTCTGGTGAATCCTCTCATCCCCGCACCTCTGGCCTGTACCCCAGTTCTTGTATGCATAAATAAATAAATTTTTAAAAAAATAAAATAAAGTGGGAATTTGGCACCAATTTTAAGGTGAAATGAGCGATGTCAGCCTAAGGCTCTCAGAGTTCGGGGTGTTTCTGTGCCAAAGCAGCTGGCAGAGCGCGCGCCCGGGGTGAGGCCAGGCGCAGACCCCGCACGATGAGGCCCCGGCACCCGCAGCGACCGCGCCCTCCGTCAGGGCTGACGCCGGCTCGTGCCACAGCTGGTCTCAGCTTAAACCAGAAAGCTCGGTTCTGCTAGAGCAAAACATCAAAGATTTCTTTTTAATGAAACAAAAGGTGACTGAAAAATACAACAGTGTAAAAAAATGTACACCGTTTGAGGAATTCTGCGGACGGCAGAGCTGCGAAGGGAGCCTTGGAGAGGGGCCCACGGCCGCTTTCAGTTTTCTGTCCTGAAACGTGGCGAGGCTCCGGGGGTCGCCGGGGGACTGTCCTGAGGAGGTCGGCAGGGGGACCGTCCTCGGGGGCTCGCCGGGGGTCCTGACGGGCAGGCCACGCCCCTAAAACTTTCACATGCTCCCAATTTCCGTAACAAAAAAATTTACACATTTGTTATCTGCAGGACTTTGAAAAAGAAATTAGGCCGCAATATTTGCTATAAATTCATTGCACTTTCCTGGGGGAAGAGGCCGTGGGCGGGCCCAGGTTTCCAGACGGCGACACTGACGGTTCATTGTAACTCGCTCAGATCCGCTCAGATCCACAGGAAAAGGTCGGCCAGGCCGAGGTTGTGGAAAAGCGAGGACATTGCCAGCTTGTCTCCCGCAGCCGGCTGGGACCAGTGGGAAACATTCCGTGAAGGCAGAGGTGGGTCGGGATGACCGCCCCAGAGGGCCGGAGGGGGTGTCCCCAGCGAGGCCCCGGCCCGAGGCCCGCCCCCCGCTGCGGGTCAGCCGCGCCGGCTGAGTGTGATCGTCTGCGCTGTGAAACCTGGGCATGTCTCACTTTAATAATTAAAAGGAAACCACAAAGTCATTTTAAACCAAACAAAAAAGGGAGGACAGAAAGTGCTTCAGAACAGTGAAGATGTTCTCGATATTTTAAGGGACACACTTAAAAAATGACCATCCCAGAGATAAAGAGATTCTCCATTCACAAGGGAACCAAGCAACGCGAGTCCAGTTGAGTTAAGCAAAGCTCCCGAGACCTGCTGTGCTGTGGGGGTGCAGAGGTGGTCGGACACCCAGCTGGACTCTCCTCTCTTTGGGGACCGTGGTCTGCGCCCCCTTCCTCCTTCCCGGGCCTCCTGAGCCCTGCGCTCCCCCCACGCCCGCCCTCGTCCCATGGGGAGGAAGCAGCCCCCACCTCCGGCTCCTGGACCCACCTCTTGCTCCCCACCCCCGCCCCCGGCCCTGGCCGCAGTGTCCCCAGGGCTCTCCTCCGTCCCCCCTTCTGGGCTCCTTGCCCTTTCCCTCCTCGCTGGGACTGCGGGACGCTGGCCCTGGCCCTGGCGTATGGGCAGTTAGCGCCATCCAGGGGCTGTGCACCCCCACCCCGGTCATCCCTCTCTGTGCCGCGCTGGCCGGACCTTTGTCAGGCGCCTGCGCTGGGCCTGGCCTCGTCCCCCCGACGGTGCCTTGGGTCTGCAGAAGACAAGACTGCAGGCTCAGAGGCTCGCCCAGGACCTTGGCGGGGACAGGGCGGTCTGCGGTGGAGTCCCCGAGGTGCCACCGCAGGAACCCACTTCCCCGGAGCCCCCTGAGTCAGGGGCAGCCCCCTGGGAGGCGGCCCCGGGGTCCGGAGGACAGCAGAAGGCAGAGACCTCCAGAAAGCAGGGCCCGGGCAGCCTGGCGGAGCGGCCGGGGCTGCTCCTGGCTTCCTCCTTCAAGCCCCACTTACGGTCGTGCCGGCTTAACCTGCAGATGAGCTTGCAGCTGCTCCAGGCCGCTGTCGAAAGGCAGGTGTCACGGGCACAGGTCAGTGCCTGCTTGTAGGCGCTGAGCCACTCAGAGGGGCTGGCCCTGCCCTCAGGGGCGCCCAGCAGGCAGGCGCGGATCGGTGAGGTGAGGACGCCGGCCACACAGAGGGTCCCACCGGCCGGGGTGGGCAGCCGCCGGCCTGGGTCTCGGGGCGGCTCCGTCCCAGAGGGAACAGTCACTCTCCTCCCCCTAAGTGCCCCGCCTGCCCCCAAGGCGGCCAGAGCCCCCTGTTGGGCTGATGCCGGGCAGGCCCCCCCCCAAGTGATCCCTCCAGGCCGGGGTCACCGGTCCCAGCTACTCAGCCGCAGCCTCGTCCTCCCTTCTCAGGGCTGGGAGGGGGCATGACACACAGGCTGCACCGGGAAAGGACCCACACCCCGGCCCGGGCACTGGGGGCAGCCGGCGCCACTGGATGGGCAGAACGGGCAGAGGCACGCAGGGCACGCCCGAGCGGGGGAGCAGCGCGCCGCGCCCTGGAGAGCTGGAGAGGGAGCGCTGCGGGGGGAGGCGGCTTCTGAGCAGCACCGGGTACGAGCCGGCATGACAGGCGGTGCGGCGGCCACCCGGGCAGGGGTTCGGCTCAGGAGGGAGAGAGAGACCTTGCACAGGCAGCGGCACAGGGACGCAGGGGCCAGAGAGACCGGTGCTCCCGTGGCCGCACCACGCGCGGGTCTCAGTGCACACCCAACCTGCCGTGACCCCCGAGCCCAGCCGGCTCTCCAGGCACAGGGCGGGGGTTGGGGGGGTGCAGGTAGAGGTTGCCGTGGGGGGCCGGAGGAGGCGCCTCAGCGGCTCCGGGGTCCGTGGCCTCACCGGCATGGCTCCTGGCTGGGACATTTCACGGGCGCTGGCTCGGACACGAGGCTGAGTTCCAGGAAGATGACTTGGTGCCTTGGCACAAACCCAGAAGCGCAGTGTGGACGGGGCACGTGTGAGGGCCCGGAGCCCACGGGGGGTCCCACTGGTTTGACGCCCCCAAGCGGGCCACCCTAGGAGTTTGGGGGTGAGTCATTGATGTGGCCTTGGGGTGGCAAGAGGATGCTGGTGGGGAAGAAAGTGCAGGGGAGAAACAGGCTGAGCGTGCCCAGGAGACGCCCGGGGGGTGCTGTGAGAGAAGGGGGCGGAAGAGCTCAGGGGACATCTGGGGTCCGAAGGGACACGGCCCCATGACAAGCCCCCGGGGCAGGCTCAGGGAGAAGGGCAGGCAGAGGAGCCAGGGTGGCGGCAGAGGGGTCCTGCTTGCGGGAAGCGGGTCATTGCTGTCATGCCAGAGTACCCGGGGCCACACAGCGGGGGGCTGCAGCTGTGACTGGGTGTGGACCATGAAGCCTGTGCCCCAACAGCCCTGCACCCATCTGCACCCCCTAAACCACTCTGCACCCCTCACCCCCTCTGCACCCCCTACCTGTGTGGTCTGGCAGGCGCTCGGAGCGCGTCCGGATGGCAAAGGGGCCTCTCAACAGACCAGCGCCCGCGCCTGCTCCCAGCACAGAGAGTGGACTGGGGGGTGGGGAGGCTGGTGTGGAGCGGGGGGGGCGGGCCTCGGAGGGGCGGGCCTGGACACGTGTCGCTCCTACTGCAGTGACACTTCCTTGACCAAAGTGCAGGCACGGTTTGATGTTAAATGGGGCGGGCAGACGGGCAAAGGAGGGTCCTGGAGCCCTGAGTGGCTTTCGGACCTTTAACGACCTTCCCACACCACCTGCAGCGAGGCGGCCGGGCGGGGGCAGGGGCTGGGGCGGGTGGCAGCCGGCAGGCCTCCAGCCCCCGTGAGCCCCGACGCTCTCGTGGTCTCTGCGCTGCTCCTCCACAGGCCTCTGCATGAGCCCACGCCGCAGCGCACACGGCAAGTCCAGAGTCATCCTTGAGCTGAGCGTGTCCAGGTGCGTGTGAGTGAGTGTGAGCCTCTGCACGCCCCCCCTTCCCGGGCCCTGCGCGACACTTGGCTTCCGGGGGCCCAGGGTCTTAACCCGAAGCCAGGGCAGTGGCCACATGGCACAGATGTGCAGAGACGAACAGTGTTTACAAAGCGCCTTCCAGAGAGTCCTGCCTAAGAGGCCGGGTCCCTCGGCCACCCGCGCCTGGGCCGCGCTTGGCAAGGGGGTGGGGGAGGGGCGGGGCTGGCCAGGGGAGGGGGGCGGGGTCCACACCACACCACACCACACCCCGCGGCGGAGGCTCCCACAGCGCTGGGCACAGAGCCGGCCAGGCTGTCCGTCTAGAGCGGAGTTTTTATTGCGAGGACGACTTAGAAGGCAGTCACATTAGTTACACACGTACACGACCGACTTAGTGACCGTTAGTCACAGAGGACATTCAAGAGACACGGACGGCGACTGCACAGTACAGCTCACACCCACAGGACGACACTCAGAGGGGAGAGGCCCAGCGTTGGCTTGTCCCGGCCACCGCCAGGCCCTCCGCCGGGAGGGACGCTGGCGACACAGCGGCCAGGGCCTCCTCCGGCGCAGCCAGCCGCCGCGGCCCTGGCCCACTCGGGATGGAGTGAGCGTGGCCCGCGATGGAGCCGGTGGGTCCACAGCCGGGCGTGGTCCGGGCCCGTCCCGGCTGCCACGGCGCCTCTCCCGGCCTGTGACCAGCATGGGCCTGTCGGGGACCGGCCAGCTCACGGGACAGGCGCGCCCTGCAGGGGTGGCAGTGAAGGGCAGGCAGGGCCACGGGTCGTGTGCTTGGCGACCAGCTACTTCTCAACAAAGCCTTAGGGGTGTGTGTGGAGGCCCCCAGACACTGGGTGCTCCCGCCCGTTCCTGCCCAAGCCTCCAGTGGCCACTGCCCGGGCAGGGGGCCGGCCCTGCTTGTGCTGAGGCCCCTGCAGGCAGGTGAGGCCAGACGAGTGAGGCCAACATGTCCCACCTCTCCCTGCCACGCAGCTCGGCTGGGCTCTGTGGGGGCAGAACCGGAACCTGGCGGCTGTAGCCGAGCCAGCCAAGGGGTCTGCTGGCATCTGCTCCTGGGACAGGGGCCGCGCGGGGGCCACTCCAGACTGCACAGAGCCCCTCCCCCCAGGGCTTCCTTCCTACTGGCCGCCTCAGTGTCCTCTGTGCCCCCAGCTCTTCTCACTCCTGCAGCACGAGTCCCCGGGGCCCCGGTCCAGAGCGAGGCCAGGGCCACCACCCACATGGCCCCCTCCTGCCCGGAGCGGGGCGGGCCCGGCTCCTCACCCTGGACTCTGGTTGACGAGGGCACCATGGAGAGAGCGGCAGAGAAGGACCCTTCCCACCCCCGCCCCGAAGTGGCCTGCCCCGCGGGCTCAGCGCCTCCGCGGGAGGGTTAGGGGCGCAGCTGACACCCTCCACCGGACAGAGAGCAGACAGGACCCACGAGCTCACAGCCCGAGGCCACACACAGTGCCTTGTCGTGTCACTTGGAACGACTCTTGGGTCCCAGAGCCCCCTCCGCTTTCATGGCAATGAGCGGGCCCCTTGGGGGGCAGCGGGGAAGGGAGACCCATGCCGCCCACAAGCGGGGCTCCAGCCGCCCTCGCAGCCTGAGGCCATCACACGCTGGCAGCACAGGAGGGGGCAGCAGGACCAGGCTCTGGACCCCTGGCGGCCAGGCAGGCAGGCACCCCTTGTGCAGCTTCCAGAAACTCAGGGCACCCCCTGCCTGCCTCTGGGCCTGCTCAGCACCCACGTGGCCTGGAACCACCCTCCTCTGCTAGCCACAGAGCCCCAGGGAGGGGCTTCCTGAGCCAGGGCCTGAGGGTCCTAGAGGGATTCTGGGGAGACACTCGAATTTCGGGGGGCCCTCCACTGGCCCTGAGGCTCTGTGGGGCATCTCCTCAGTCCAGGAGGAGCTGACGTGCAGGAAAAGAGGAGAGGAGACGAGGCTGAGGGTGCAGCCAGAGCAAGGGGGACCCTCAGCTCCTCTCCTCCAATCTGAGCGCCAGTCCACAAGTAGAAGCTTCCAGAAAGGAGGCCAAGCGAGGAACTGGGAGGCAGAACCAGAGCTGGCACCAGAACCCTGCACTCTGCTGCTCCCCAGCGGCTTGGCAGGGAGGGACGTGGAGTCCTGTCTCCAACGTAGGGTTTGCCCTACACCGTCTCCAGTTGGGGAGCAGAGGCGGTTCCTGGGGGGTGCCCACCTGGCCCGGGCACCCCATCCATCCAGCCTCCTCCAGGGCCGAGGTCTCTGGGACCTGAGGGTGCCTCCGGGGCTCTGACTCAGGGGTTCTGGCGAGACCCCACCGGGCCTGGGCTCAGCCCGGAGGGCAGGAGGGGCTGCTCCCGCGGGGTGCCTGGGGGACGGCAGGCGGCTTTGGGCGGGGGGCCCTGGGTGCGCACCAGAGCCCGGACCAAAGGCCCCAGCTGTGAAGGCGAGGGTCGCGCCAGCCGACGGAGCTGCAGCCAGGGACCGCTGCTGCCCGGGTCGTGCCTGGCCCGGGGCTCCTGCCCGGCGATGGGCTCCTGCCCGGCGATGGGCCCGCGCACCGTCAGGACGGCAGGGACAGGGCTGTGTGCTGAGACCCCCCGGGCCCAGGCCGGGGTGCGGAGAGGGAGGGGAGGACAGGTCCCTGGGCGCACCTCAGTGTCACAGGCGATGGGGCTGCAGGGGACCCACAGCGGCTCCGGGCCACGGTCAAGCGCCGACGCCGGCTGTGGAGGCTGAGCCTCAGTGCGGGGGCTGGGGAGAGGTTGGGGGCAGCGGCTGGCAGGGCCCATCCGGGCGCGTGGGTGGCCTGCGGGTGGCGCCACCGGGGCCTCCCTCTGCCCAGCTACTCAGAGAACGGCGGGAACATTCCCAGGTCGGCAAAGTCCTCGATGTTGTAGTTGCCCGTCCCCTGGGTGGGGTCCCCCGACATGGGCAGCATGTCCTGCGAGGGAAGGGGTAGGGCGCCAGGCTCATCTCTGGCTCCAGCACCCAGCCCACCTCCTCTACCCGCCCCCCGTCTTCCCAGGGGGCACCGGCTTGCAGCCCAGCTCCGTGGCCACCTGCAGGGTCCGGGACCCCTGAGACCCAGCAGTCACCCGCAGGGCCACCCCCTCAGGGCAGCAGCCTGGGGCACGGGTGGGCGGGGCCCCACTGGACGGGGCCTTTGCCCCAGCAGAGGTGGGCGGGGTGGGGGTGCAGGGCGGCCGGGAAGGACGCAGACGCGAGGGGCCGGGCGTGCGCCCACCTGGAACACCTCGGTCTGGCCGGGCTGCGGGTGCGGGTGCTGGTCGCCGCTCTGCTGCCCGTGGTGCTGGCTCTGCCACTGCGACCAGACCTCCGAGGGCCGCCCCTGGAACTGCCCGCTGCTCTGTCCGCTCTCAGCTGGAAGTCGACATGCATGCAGGCCTGGAGACGGGGACCCCAGGACCACGCCCCGGGACCCCCTGCTCTCTGCCCGACATCAGCCAGGCCGTCACGGGGGGTTCTCTGTGTGTCTGCTCACAGGTGCCCACCCCGCCCGGCCGGCCAGAGAGCAGGGCCGCCCGCACCCACCCTGCCCCCCGCTACACAGAACCCACCCCAGGCCCCACCCGCCTGCCCTGTCCCTCCTTCCTGGGGCTGACTGCGCTGTCCCAGCCTCTCCACCCGGACGCCGCCTCCCTGAAGCCCGCAGAGTGCAGAGTCCAGGGTCAGAGGGGCCGAGGCCGCCACCCCTCCCCTCCATCCCCCCTACCGAACCCTGGCGTCCGGTTGGCCAGACTGGAGTAGGCGCTTCCGCTGGGCGAGGACGTGGCGGGGCTGGACAGGGGGCTGTAGGAAGAGGGGTCGGCCGGGTAGGTGTGGCTCGTTCCGATTCCAAAGGGGGACGACTGGGTCTTGCTGGACTGAGAGGGGATTTGCTGCATCAGGATGAGGCAGAGACGGCGTCCACGGCAGGTCTCCACCCCTGCCAGCCTGCCCCGCCACCCTCTGCCCCCGGCTGCATGCCCCGCCCCTGCCCAGGCTGGGGGACCTGGGTCCAGCCTCCTGGCCACGCTGACCACCAGCCCTCCACCCCGGGGGCACCCATCCACAGTGGCCAGTAGGAGCTAGCGAGCCTGGGCTGGGGTCCCCAGCATTCCCGGACAGGTACACGGAGGCCAGCAGGGGGCGGTCTCTGGCCCTTCCTGCCCAGACCCTGGCAAAGACGTTGGCAGAGCAGGCATGGCCGACCAGGACCCAGGGGTTGTCAGGAGCAGGCCCAGCTTGGGGTGTTGGCCTGTCCTCAGCTTCAGGACCCCAGACGGCTCGGCCCCAGGAGCCCGGGAGGCCCGCGCTGACCCGTACCTGACCCGGGAAGGGCGGCCGGCTCCCTGTCCAGGCCACCTGGCTCTGGCTCAGCTGCCGCGAGATCTGGGACATGTTCTGGCCGGTGGACGAGGACGCGGGGATGTCGCTCACGCCGGGCACGTGCACCACAGAGGAGCTGGGGAGGAGCGGACCGCGGGCTGGCCCAGATGCAGAGGCCCCAGGGGCCAGCCGCCGCGAGAGCCTGACCGCTGCTCGGGCATGGTGGCCACCAGCCACCAGCCGTAACCTTCGGGAGCGGCTCAGGGGCACCGCCGTCGCGGCCTGCTGTCCCCAGATGGCCCGCCGTGGCCGGGTCCCCGGGATGCCATCTAGCAAAGCCGCCCGAGCCAGGCTGAGCTGCGGCCCCGGGGCTGTGCACGCGCGGCCGAGGGCCCTCTCCCGCGCGGCCCGGCTCTCAGCAGGGACAGTGTGGCAAGGCCATCCTCCTGGGTACCCGGGGCACATTTTCTGCTGAGTGGGGCTTCGGTGGGGTCACGGGAGTCTGCATCCCCAGGGCTGCCACTGCTGGCTCAGGGACCCACGGGGCCTTTTATGCCAAGAACCCAGCCTCGGGAAGGCGGTGCCCTCCTGGGCCCGTAGCGCCCTTTCAACAGACTCAGGTTTGACAATCAAGTCCTCCTGTCCTCCCTGGATGTGGCCGCTGCTTTCGGGGGCCACAGGGGCAGGTCCTGCTGCTCCGTGCGGTGCCCCAGCAGGGGCCAGCTCCCGCCCTTCTCCAGGGGCCCAACAGCCGGCTTTCTAGCCGCCGCCCAGGCCCATCCATGGCCACTGCGAGGAGCAGGCTGAGTGGAGGCGCCACAGACCCTCGCTAGCCAGGCCGCAGGCGGATGCCCACACTGCCCACACAGGGCAGCCAGAGCTGGGCCCGCCCGCCCGCCCGCTCCTACCTGAAGGCCTTCCCCGAGTGCCCCGCCGGGAACGGGCTGCCCTGGGAGTAGAGCTGCTGGGTCCCCGCAGCTGAGGCTGAGCTCATCATCTTTTTCTCAGCTGGGGAAGCAGAGCGGAGTCCACTGGCTGCCTGGATCTCAAATGCTTCCCGCCCTTGGCCCACCCCCATCCCGCCCGAGGGAGACAAGGACCAAGGACCTCAGGTTGTCCCCCGGGCCTTGCAGCCCAGCGACCCCCGAGAGGCTGCTCTGGCTTGGGGGGCAGGCACCCGAGCTTAGGCCTACACTCCCATAGCCCCGGCTGGCACTGCCAGGACACCCACCCTCTGCTCCCCACCCCTGCCCTGGGCGCCCAGTCTCAGCCAGGGTGAGGGGGGCAGGCGTCCAAGTGCCCTTGGCTCGGCTCTGCGGTCCATGCCCAGGTGCCTAGTGGTGGTGCGAAAGCCACTCTTCCTGCCAGCTCCCCAGAGGGCAGCTGTCCACGGCACTGGCAGTGGCCACAACCTCTATCCCTGCCTGTCTGGGGCCTGCAGACTTACACGCGCCCATCCCTGCGAACATCTCAGCAAAGCGGGGGTCCCTTTCCTGGGAAAAGATGGCGTCTGCCTTTTCCACGGACTTGCCGGCCTCGTGGACACCTGCCGGCAGGTTGGGCACGGGCACCTGCTGGCACACAAAGACAGGACTGCGCTGTGAGCCCGACATGCTCCCCAGTGCCACACCGCCTCACGCGGGCCACTGCATCTTTTCTAGGTGCGCCAGCCAGGAAGGGGCGGGCGGGCCTGGGCTGGCGATCAAGGCGGGCAGCTGCATGCTCGGGGAGGGGTCGCCAGCTTCCTCTGAAGGCCGGCAGGAGCGGACTTAGGAAAGAGGCCAGATACCACCACGCTTGCCTCTTCTCTGCCCAGTGGCTCCCGGAAGCCGCAGAGACGAGGGAGTAGGGGGAGGGCTCGGAGGACGATGGCGAGGTCCACGGTGAGGAGGGGGGCCGAGTCCGCAGCCCCCCGCCGGGCCAGGCTCCCCACGGCCAGAGCGCCTGCCGCACTGTTCCGGGCGGGCCGGGGCAGGGGCACTCACCTGGGACAGGTCGTAGGCCGGCAGCCCATCCCGCTGGTGCACCTCCAGCTCCGCCTGCTGCTGCTGCAGCTGCCTGGGGACAGATGGGCGTGAGCGTCGCCCCCCACCCACCCGTAGCTCGGGTCTCATCTGTGGGGTTATCCTAGGCCCCAAGTCAGGACTCCAGGACCCATGTCCTGAACCGAGCCTGGGACAGTGAGGAGTGAAGATGCCCCCGCAGCCTGCCTGGCCCGACCCAGACCATCCACACGCGAGCTTTCCTTTACGTGCACAGAAGGGCCGCCCTGAAGGCATCTTAAGGGAAACTCGGGCACATGGGGGGCGGGTGTGGGGGCACGGGGCACAGCGGTGGCTATCTGGCCTCTGCGGGGGGGTGCGGGGCGGCGCGAGCCTCACGGGCAGCCTACTTGACGTTGGTGTTGGTGCAGATGATGTACTCAATCTCGTCCGAGTAGGGGTTCTGGAAGGTGAAGCTGCTGGAGCGGAGCAGCACCCACTCCCGGGTCTTGGTGCGGAAGCGGTACATGACGGACAGCACCTGGCCCTTCAGCTTCACCACCTGCGGCGGGGGCGGGGTGTCCGACAGGGGCGTGGGCGGGTGGCGCTGGAGGGTGCCGGGGCTGGGACCCGGCTGGCCAGGACTGTGAGGACCCGGCCGCCGGGGGCCCGCACCCGTGTGGGTACAGCCTGGCGTCTAGTGCGCCCCAGGGGCCGGGGAGGCAGCTGTGCAGCCACAACCATCACCCGAGCCTCTGAGGAACAAGTGCACTGCCTGGTGGGGACACACGGCGGGAAGCCTGACGGGAAGGAGGTCCCTGCACGCTGCCCCGGGCTCTCGGCAGACGTGGCCACACGCGCAGAATCAGCGGAGGCAGCCGCAGCGGGGCCTGAGGCCGGAGGCAGGGGTGGGGTCGGGCCTGGCACAGCCTCCCCAGGACAGCAGTGAGACAGGAGCATCCTCCCCAGGGCCACAGGGCCACCTCCCGCAGCCAATGGACACCCACGCTGTCCTTCAGGCTCCTCCCTGGCTGCTGGGGCAGGGGCTCCGCCCTGCAATGCCCAAGGGGCCGGCTCAGCCCCAAGTCAACCTGACCCTCGAGGCGCACCACCCTGCAGAGCCACGGAAGGGGGCAGACCCCACGGGCGCTTCAGGATGGGGCAGGGGCAAGAGTGAGGCAGGGTGTGTGTGTGCGTGCGTGTGTGTGTGTGTGCGTGTGTGTGTGTGTGTGTCCCTGGGGAGCTGGGTGAGGCGGGAGGAGGAGGGAGCGAGAGTCAGTGCCCACAGGGAACAGTGAGGGGGGCCTGGGTCCGCGGTGGGGCCACTCCTGGCTACGCTCCCCCAGCCAGGCGCGGTGGGGGTGGGGGTGTGGAGCTGCCGTGAGGGCCGCCCCAGCCCAGGCCAGGTGTTCGGGGAGGAGGGGACGAGCAGATGCTGCCCAGCGGTCAGGAGGGCAGGGCAACGACATGTGGCACAGGGAAGCCCGGAGGGTCGAGGCCTGGACGGGTGTGCCCTGCTCCCATGTGCTGGGCAGCTCCAGGGCCCTCGCTGCGCCCCCGGGGCCTCAGGCAGGAGCCTGCCCTGTGGCCTCAGAGGGTCTCCCAGAAGCCAGGTGCCTGCACTCCACCTGGCTCCCTGACGCGAGGTCAAACTCCCGCCTCGGCTGCCGTGCAGAGGCTGCCCAGAGCCGGCGCACAGTGGGCACTTGGGAAGCAGCAGAGGGGGCGGCACAGGATGCCAGGCGGCCTCCTCTCAGGCCCCCAGGTCTGCCCTCCTTCGCCCTCCCCACCAAGCAGCGCGCAGCCCGTGCCCGCCCCTCTCCAACACCCCCGCCCCGCCGAGCAGGCCCCCGTCCTCTCCCCCTAGACTGGCCCCTGTTGCCCGGCCCGCCACCCTCGCTGCGAGGCCCAGCTGAGAAGTGCACTGGCCCGCCATGGGCCACGTCACGCCTGCCTCCTCCCATGGTGCAAGCTTCCCACCAGGGCCTGCTCCCGGGCCCTGGGGCTGGCACCTCAGCCACGGACATTCTCTCTCTCTGCTCACGCATCAAGACCCACCACCGGCTCTTCCCAAGGCTGGCTGCCCGCACCCCAGGGGGGACCTCCACCCTCTGCCACGACATTTCTTCTCCCACTGCGCACGGGAGTCACAGCCTGACGGGTCTGCCCGGGGCTGGCTGTGAGCTGGGGGCACTGCCGGGTCCACAGGCGTGGGTCTGCACCCACCCAGGGTCTGCCAGGCCCCATCCAGTCAGGGCAGGCCCAGCCCTGACAGTCCAAGCCCCACCTTCAGGCCACGCCCAGTCCCGCAGGCCACACCCCCTGCCCACCGCACCTGCTGGAAGCTCTCCCGCAGGTGGCTCTGATCCTCTGAGTGGCAGAATTCCAGAATGTCCTTCCCGAGAAGGTCCTGTGGACAGAGACGCGCTCAGAGCCCAGCCTCCCCTCCCCCGGCCAGCGCTCTCACCGCGCAGGGCGCACCGTCAGGGGTGGGGTTCCCTGACCCTCCAGGAGGCACGCCCCGACGGCACTCTGCCAGCCCTTTCCGCGGGACGCCCCATCCTAGTCTCGCGAAGTGCCTGTGACCACGCAGTGGCACTCCTGGCCTGGGTCGGTCAGGCAGCCGCGGGCCCAAGCCCCTGCGCACCTGGCTGCGGAGACGCGGGCTAAAGTGGCCGGGAACCCACCTGGGGCTGGTAGCCGATCACACTGATGCACCGCGGGTCCACGAAGGTGATGACACCGTCCGAGCTGTGCCGTGAGAGGAATTCCGTGGGGACGGCCATGGAGCTCATGTCCATGCACACGGGGGAGCTGGTCACCTGCGCGGGGCACAGTTGAGCATGGGCAGAGACAGGCAGGCAGGCGCCACGGACCACCAGCCCCGAGCCTACCTGCAGCCTCCCGATGGCCACCAGGCAGTACTTGCTGCCCTGCCCCACGTCCGCGTCCTCTTCCGGGATGGTCATTCCTGAAAGGAGGGGCGTGGTCAGGAGAGGGGCCGAGGCGCTGGGCCCCAGGTCACGAGAGCGTCGGGGGTGATGCAGGGGCACAGGAGGGGCTGCTGTCCACCCGCCTGTGCACACATGTGGCTGTGGAGGGATTCCAGTGAGAAGCCCAACGGGTCGTCCAGTGACGGAAATGGTTTACTCGTCCTTTGACGAAGAATCAGACAAAGACCGCTGGTCAACAGCAGAAGCGAAAACCACCCAAAACACATGCGCAACCCGGCAAAGCTGGCTCCCCGCACGGGCCACCAGCCTGGGGGCAGGGCTCTGGGCCAGGAAGGGCAAGCGGGGTCGGCCACTCCAAGGACCAGCGCTGCGGCCAGGGCTGCCAACCGCCCACAGAGCCCTGGGCCCGGTGTCCCCTGGCTGGGCCCGCAGCTGCTTAGGGACACAGCGCCCCATTTGAGCCCCAACGGCCAGCCCGTGCCCTGCACACTGCCCCCTCCAGGGGAATGCTTTCCCACAGGTCCAGCCTCTGGCTCCAGTGATTGACTGACCAGTGCAGACAGCCAGGGGTGCAGGCAACAGAGTGGGGACCCCGCTCAGCGCCCATTGTCTTGACTGCCCGGCGGGCCCCAGCCTGGCTGTTTCTCCTGCCCTCCATCCCAGCACCACTCAGAGGGGCCGGCCTGGCTCCTCCCATCGCCCGGCTTACGTCCAGTGTCTGCAGTGTCCCGACCGCAGCAGTGCCCTGGAGGACGCCTCAGCGCCATGCGCCTCCTGGGAAGTGCCTCCCAGACGCCGAAGGCCCCACCAGACGAGGCCTCCAGGCGCCTGAGAGCGCCGCGTCTCAGATGGGTGCCCGCTCTCCCCGGGGGGTCCAGCCACTCCCTTCAGCCGCCCTTGGCCCACCGGCAGCCTCTGCCTTCTCAGCGCTGGGGGCTGGGCGCCTCGCCATGTCCTGCCTTTGCAACCTTCCCCCTACCCAGCCCCCCCACCCTCCCACGGAGACCTTGGTCTCCACAGCCAGACATTTCCAGGGCAAAAAGTCATCAGTCTGGGACGGGGTGCCCAGGGCGGGACCAGGAGCCTGTGGCTGCTTACCCGCGGGGGGCCAGGCCTTGATGTACCCCGTGCAGTGGACCACGGCGTACTGGGCCTCGCCTTCCTTCACAGGGCCAAGACCATTCCTGGAGAGACACGCATGTGTGTTTGCCTCCAGCCCGGCCAGGGGGACCGGGGCACGAGGTCACAGCACCCCGGGCATCTGAGCTAGGGGTTCTCGGTGCTCCTGGGGTCCCGCCTCCCCGCTCTGTGGTCTGAAGACCCTGCGCCTGCCCTCAGCAGCCCAGCCCGCAGCCACAGACCCTCTCGCACCGACCTGAAGCGCTTCCTCATGGTGGAGATCCGGTTCAGCGGGAGGTGGTCCAGCGGGGCGTTCCCACACCTGTGGACGGGGCTGGTGAGCAAACAGCGGGGCAGGCCTGCGGGGGTGCAGGCTATGGGGCGGGGCCCCCCCTGGCAGGAGAGCTGCCCCCACAGGGAGCCTGGCTTTGCTGCAGGGCTCAGGCGGAGGGCTCGGGAGCAGGACCCAGCCCCAGGCCGCTGGGGGAATGGGGGGCGAGGTGGGGGGAGGGCGTCCAGCAGACCCGGCTTCCTGAGGCTGAGGCCCAGCCTGGGCAGCGCCGGCCTCTGGGGGCTTCTGGAGGGGCCCGCCTGGGCAGGACACCCCTCCCGCATGTGCAGGGCCGGGGCCGGCAGACGGAAGGGTCACCCACACCCCGCGCTCCCGGCCGCAGACCTCATCCTGCAGATGAAGGACCTCCGGGAGCCCATGCACATGCGCATGGACGACTGCTGGCCCTCCTTCTTGACCGTGCCGGTCTTCAGGTCCAGGATCCGGCCTGGGGGACAAGCGCCACGTCAGCCACGGCCGCGGAGCACCGGGGTGTCGGGGCTCCCCACAGCCTCAGCAGGAGGTGAGACCCACACCGCCCAGGCCCGCCTCCCCAGGCCCAACCGCGGCTCTGCTGGGCCGGGACCCTCCTAGAGTCACGGGGAGCTGCTGCCCCCTCTCTCCCGCGAGGACCCCCATCTCCTCACAGCCCCTCCCCCGCCGGCCGAGGCTCAGCCGCCTCCACTTTGGGAGAAAGGCCGCGGCCCCGAAGGCTCCAGTGGCTCATGGTCAACAAGGCACAGAACTGGACACCCCGTCCCCCGTTTCAGGTGTCGCCAGCCTCAGGCGGCGCCGGCCCTCACGCCGAGTCCTCGGGTTGGGGGCGTCGCGGGAGCACCGGGCGCGGGCACAGGCCAGCTCCCGCGAGGGCCGCCTCCCGCGGACACGACGCCCGCCCCAGGGCTCCTGGAGGCCGCCCAGGCCCTGCCCAGGCCCTGCCGCAGCCCTGCTCCTCCTCCCGCCTCGAACACGACGGCGCCCGCCAGGCCCGGTGGGCCACGGCTGCTCACAAGAAGCTCCACGCTGAGCCGCGGCCGGCGCGGGCCGCTCCCCCGACCCCGTCCGAGCTCCAGCGCGGAGGCGCCAGTTGCCCACGTGCTGGTGGGACTCGGGGCCCTTCCGCGTGGGGACAGCTGCCCGCCCGCGCCCCACCAGCCGCTGGCCTCCGCCACCCCTCGCTGTGTCTTCCACGCCCGGAGCTGCTGGCACCCTGACGGCTGCAGTGCTGCGGGGGGCGGAGCCCCGAGACTTGCCTTCCCCACACCGGCCTCGCCTGGGCAGCGCTGCCCTGGACTGGCGCATCCCCGCTGCCTGCGGCCGCCACAACACACCCTGCGCGGCCTGCGCGGTCCCAGCTCCCGCCCGCGCTCTCCGCAGCCCCTGCACTCGCCCCGAGAGCCGGGCAGCCGGCTCCCGGGCACCACCTCGGTCAGTGGTGGCTCTTACTGAGTCAGAGGCTTTGGCTGGGCAGGGCACAGAGGGGCTCCCCGGCGCAGCAGGTACGGCCAACTGCCCCCGGGGAACAGGGCCCTCTGGTCCCTGCGCAGGCCCGGGGCAGGGCGGAGCAGGCAGCCGGAGAGACAGGACTGCTGCCCGCCAGTACAGGGACCCGCTCAGCCGCCAGAGCTGCCCGCCACCTCTGCCACTGCCCCTCCACCGAGCCCGGCACCCTGGCCACTGCCCAGGCTGGGCCCTCCGCCCGTGGTGACTGCCCAGGACGATGCAGTTGGCCACTCAGAGGCCTCCACAGGCAAACGCGCCTGTTCCCAGTTCCCTTTTCTGTAGGAATCTGGTCAGTGGCTTCGGCCTGGTGGCCTATTTACACCCTGTCTCCACGGAAGCGGCGAATGCAGAATCCAGCGACACCCCACGGGCAGGATCCCCTAGAGGCCCCCCCTTAATGCCTCACCTGACCCCTCTCCGTGGCCTGTCCCCAAACACCCCAGGCAGCGCCACGTCCAGAGCCGGCCCACAGAGGCTACAGGAGCAGCAGGGGCTCCCCAGGAGGGGACCTGCACAGGGGTCCAGCCGACATGGGGGGTGGCGGGCGGGGTGGGTCAGTGGGGGCAGCGGGATTGGGGGGCTCCCAGCACTCAGTGCACAATGCATGGGCAGACGCCCCCAGGTCCCTCCTCAGCCTCCTGGTGGTCCCAAGGAATCCAGCCACAGGCCTTGAGCAGGCCCCTGGGTCCACCCGTGGCTGCAGGGGCAGAAGGATGAGAGGGGTCCAGCCCCCTCAGCGGGACCCCATGAGGGCGGCCGGGCAGGGGTGAGGCGGACCTGCGCTGAGGGGCTGGGCTGCCCAGGCCAGTACCAGCCTGGGAAGGGTCAGAGTCGGGCAATTCTCTCTGGGTGTTTGCCGACCGCTTTTCCGGATTTCCTCCTGGCACGGTGGTGCCTCCCAACGACCTGGCTGTGTCTGGGGTGGGGCAGGGCGGGAGTCCTGGGCCTCTGAAGCGCGGGAGCAGCCGCTGCTCAGTGGGTAGGGAACTGGGGTTCTGGGGTGGGGGCTAGAGGGCTTGTGGGGAGGGCGCTCTGGGGCCAGGGGGCTGGGGAGTCGGGGGCTGGGGGCTGGGGGCGAGCACGGGCCCAGGAGCAGGACAGCCGAGCAGTGCAGGAGTGGAGCCCGCAGGCGGCTTGGGCCTCCCCGGTGTCTGGGGGTGCGCTCTGCAGACCCTCCCGGGCACTGTGGCCACAGGGGGGCTTTCGGTCACCGGCACCCAGCCTCCAGGGTCGCCTGGGAGCCCGCAGGTCAGGTTTCCACGTGGGAACGATGTGAATTGGGGCCTTCGGAGCAGAGCCTGTGGGTGAGCAGCGGCAGCTGATGACCCTCAGAGACAGGCCTGCCCGGCCGGGGAGGACCCCACTGGCAGGATGGGCGGCTGGCGTGGGGCCATGGTCTCCCTCCAGGCCAGGGACCGCCTTCAGGCAGCAGGACAGGCCTAGGGCCCCATCCCCTGCTGTCCTGACTGAGGAAGCTACGCTGGGGTCAGCGCGAGGACGCCGTGGACGGCAGCCACACAAGGCTGTGGGCCCGACTGGGCTGCGGGGGACAGGGGCGGAGCGGGGCCCAGAATGAAGGTGCCGTCTGCCCGCAGCCTGCGGGCCTGCCCCGGCCGAGCCTGCCACCGCGAAGCCACCCGCGGCGCCAAGGAGCTGGCGGCACAGAGGGGCCCACCTGCACCGAGGCTGCTGGACGGGCCGCGACAGCGCCGGCGGTCCCACACTCGCGCCACACACGGGAGGGACCACGGAGCTGCCACAGCGGCCTCAGCTGCCCCAGGGCCGCCCCTCACCCCCCCTCCTGGTCTGTGGCAGAGGCAGAGGCTTCCTCCTGCTTTGCGTGAGCGGAGTGTGGCTTAAAGCACCACATTCCTTTGGAGCATCACGCTCCAAAAATGCCAGAAATGCAGGCCTGAGGCTTCGCGTGACACTGCCGTGCCCGCCCGTGGGGAGGCCAGCCAGGGGAGGCCCGCCCCACATAACACACACAACACACACGACACACACGAGGGCGGCAGCTTCGGGCCACACCTCCTGCAAGTGCTAATGAAGTGATAAAAACACAGAAGTGGCAGGCAAAGCCTGCTCTGCGAGGGTGTGGGGGGGGTGGGGGGGAGTGGGGGGGCCTCCAGTGGGGGTGGGGGGTGGTTAGGGAGGGTCCCACATGGGGCACAGGAAGCCAGAGTGGGAAGGTGCAGGCACCCCTGATGGGAGCTTCAAGTGCGAGTGGGGAAGCCAGGCCAGCAGCCCTCTCCACTCGGGACACGGTGGCTGCTCGGGCCCCGGCCATGGCTGCAGTTTGCGGTCTGCACCCAGGGCCAGCACAGGGCGCCTCCAGTCCACGGCCCCCAAAAACCAAGTTCCAAGGAGACACACGCAGCCGAGGCACGCGGAGGGCTGGGGAGGCTCGGCCACCAGGCGCCGCTCAGCAGGGGCTCATGTGGACAAAGGACAGACGCTGCGCGGGAGGCCCACCCAAAAGACGTGTCTAGACTCCAGCGGCCGAGGCCCCAGGGGAGGCGCTCCCGGGAGCACTCGGCCCCGCAGCAGCCAGAGCCACCACTCGCTCACTTCACACCGGGTGGCGTCAGCTGGGCCGCGAGGTTGCCCAGGCCTGTGAAAGTCGCCACAGGGAGACTGGAGAGGAAAAGCCACAGCTTCCCTCAACAGGTGCCGCCAGGCAGCCAGCAGGACCCACCACTCCGAATAGAAGCTCTGCACGGGGCTGAGACAGGAGATCGCGGGGCCGCCAGAGCAAGGACGAGCCGCCTGCCCTCCTGCCTGGGGACGCCACAGGCCGCGATGATCAGGCAGGAACCCCACGCCCATGTCCTCCCCGACGGCCTCGGGACGCTTCCCACACAGCCAGCCGCAGCAGGGCGGGCGGAGCGGGTGGGCTCAGAGCCAGAGGCCCGGTCCATGGAGCCCCCATCCACAGCCTTGGCTCTGGAGGAGCTGGCAAGCTGACTGGAGGGCTGCGTGGAAACCCAGGCCCCGAGAGCTGGAGTCCCGTGGCAAAGAGAACAGGCGCAGGGGCAGCCCTGGCCCCGCTGAGGCGTGGGGCCCCGCCAGCAGATGGCCACCTGCACGGAGGCACAGCTCACCCAGCGCTGGGCCAGTGGGTGTCCGCGCCCCTGCGCTCAGCCCGTGAGTGCACCCCGCTCTGCTCCACTCCAAGCAGGGCCGCCTCCCCGCAGCACCGGACGGGCGTGAGAGGACGCATCTGCCCAGCCGGGCGCCTACGGAGGCCCACACCTGCCCTACAGGGCCCGCCGGCTCCTCACGCCTCCCCGCCAGGGGCCGGTGCCCAGCCCCTGCCCCAACCCCAGCCCCGCAGACCCCTCAGAAAGGCGCCCCTGCCCAGCCCCCATCGAAAAGAGGCCAGGTCCTCGCTGCCATGGCCAAGCCCCCTCCCCCAACACGCCCGCCCCCTGCGATCGTCCGGGGCTGCATCCATCGCCTCGTCCACAGCTCCACCAGGACGGCGTGTCTGTCCCACCCGCCCACGGCGCCCACTTCACCCACCCTAGTGTGGATGGAACACACCCGCCGCCCCCATCAGGAGCTGGTGGGCTCATGGCACCAAGGGGGACGTGGCCAGCTGGCTCTGTCCCAGGCTCCCCCGAAGCTGAGGGGCCCCGTGGGCCAGCCTGAGGGCAGCAGTCCCGGCTCCTCCACCTACAGGGCTGCGGGGGGCGGGTGGAGACCATCCTGGGCCTGGGCCTGTCTCCTCCCACGAACCCGCCTCATCGTACTGCTCCCTCCTTGCGTGGGGGCCGCGTGGGCCACTAGCCCAGGCGCCAGCACCACACTTGCGCCGTCTGGGGCCCGGAGAGCCTGCTGCGCCCGGGGCGGGGTCGGGACCCTGCTGCAGGCCCACACGCTCCATCACGCTGGGCCACAGGTGGATTTGCACACGTGCGTGCAGGCGCCCGGTCCCCACAGCCACGTGCCACCGCGTGCCGGGGCCCGGCCGAGCACCGCACTGCCCCACGGCGGGAGGAGTGAGCCCGGCCAGCTGATGCAGTGTGCCCGGGGCAGGCGTGCAGCGCGTGGGGGCTGGTCCCGGGGCAGGTGTGTGTGTGGGGGGCTGCTCACGGGGTGGCTGTGTGGGGATGGGGCGGGGGGCTGCTCCTGGGGGCGGAGGGCCCCCCCCCCCACACAGGGCTGTCAGGGGCCTGGTCCTCAGCTCCCGCCCTCTGCTCAAGGTGGCCACAGCGGGGTGTGTGGCTGGGGGACTGCGGGGGGTGGGGGGAGGGCGGGGTGGGGCTTGGGCCCCCGGTGGGAGTGACACAAGGCCCCGCAAAAACAGCTGTGCAGACATTTCCCCGAACCGGCTTCTGGGAAAGGTGACAACGGGGTGAGGAGCGCGGCCGCCGCCTGAGTCACCGTCTCAGCCGCCTGCCTCGTGTCAGTGAATCTGAAGGAAACTATTTTAATTTTCTTGGCCACGCTGAGGTTTTGCAACCCTGTTATTTTTAGCCAGAGCTTGCAACGTGGGCTCACGTGAGCACGTCAGCGAGACTAAATCGGGCCCACAGGAAACGGTGATTTGTCTCCTTTAGGCCAACACCGGCATCCGGCCCCCCCCAGCTTCCCCACACAGGCCAGGGGCCCTTGCTCGGGACCCCGGGCCACGGCGGCCAAGCGCTTGGTCTCTCCTAGCCGGCAAGGTGCGGGCTGACGGGGCGGCGGCTCCCGGCCCGTCCCGCTCGGGCTTCCGCAGTGTCTCGGGCTGGGCCTTGGGCTGGCGCAGGCCCACGCGTGGCCATGGTGGGCACAGACGGACGGCGAGCTCCACAAACAGGGGGGACCCGGGAGAAAGGCCTAGAGCCCGGCTTCGGGGCTTCAAAGGGCCTGTGAGCTGGCGGTGGGGCCGACGCCTCTGCTCGGGCCCGCGGGGGCGCGCCTGGCCCCCCCAGTGCTCCAGCGCCCCCGCCACACACAGCCTGAGAGGGCGGCCGGGTGCCGCAGGTGAGTGTCACACCAGGGGCTGCGCTCACAGGATCCGCCGGAACTCCCAGCCAGGGTCAAGCTCTGCAGCTGACCCCGCTGACGCCGTGGGGTGGACACTGACCTCGGTGCCCCTGGACAGAAGGGCGGCCTCTCCCGCCTACCGGGACCGGCTCTGCCCTGAGTGGGGGAGACAGAAAGCAGGGGCGGGGGGCTCTGCTCCACCTCCCTGGCGAGCTCTGCGAGAAGACACCAGTGGCCTCTCATGGCCCACCCAGGCTGGGTCCCTGGATCCCCAGCACTGGGATCACTGCTCTGGGGAGCAGCACCCCTGGGCCCCACCGCCTCTGCTGGCTGGTGCCCTCAGTTCTCTCCCAGCCCTCCCTCGGGCCTGGCCCCCCGCCGCCATGTGTCTGTGCCTGGTGCCCGCCACACTGTGGACCCGGGCATGGGGCTGCAGCCTGGCCCCACCCCACGCAGCCCAGCCTGTCGGCAAAGTGAGCCGCGTGGGAGGCCCTGGGTGGGCAGGCAGGTGGGTGGGCAGGGGGATGGGGGTGGGGGGGCGTAAACAAAACAAGGATCGAGGGCGCCACCTGCATCCCACCCTGAGCCAGGGCACTGCCCACGCGGGCAGGAGGGACATGCCAGCCTTGGGTAAAGGGCAAAACTGCCCAAAGCCAAAGGCCGCCTGTCTGCCCTGGCGACAGGCCCAGAACCCGAGATCTTCAGGGGAACGACACGGATGCGGGCGCGTCTGCTGGCCCGACCCCCACGGGCTCAGCACAACCGGCCCCATGGACGAGCAGGAGAAGTGGCCACATGCTGGGCACTGTTGACCCCAGCAGGCCACCCGCCAGGCCCGGCCAACACTGACAGAGGGGCCGGCACAGCCTGCCCGGGCCCTGGGAAGTCCACCCTGCTCTGCCCCCAGCACCCTGGCCCTCACTGGAGCCCTGCCTGGGTTTCGCTGAGCACCCCCACACTGCAAGAACGCCAGCGGGGCCATGAGCGCAGGTCAGGGAACAGGCTCGGGGACTCTGTCCAGACCGACCACGGCCTCCCGTGGGGGCAGCAAGCTTGCCCTGAGCAGGGCAGCACAGGAAGCGCCGGCTGTGCAAATATTTGACCAGGAGCAGCAGCGGCGCCAGGGGGCCACGCCTGGCTGTGTGGGCGACTCTGCCGGCTCCTGCTCAGCGCCTGCCCCCACCTTGACCCCCCGGGGCTGCAACTGCAAAGGGCCCATCCGGTAAACAGGCTGCACTCTGGCCACAGAGGCGCTGTCTCCATTTCAAAGGGCAGGACCCCAGTAAAGGGGCCACTGCTGACTCAGCAGAGGCTGCATTTTTTTTTTTTTTTTTTTTGACCACATTAGCATGACGCAGCAGGAAACCAGGCCGGTGCGGGCTCGGGCAGACCCCCCCACCCCCAAAGCAACCCGGCGCCCCTCAGGCCGCAGGATGCCAGCGCCCTTGCAAGCTCGAGCACAAGCACGGCACCTGGCTCAGCTGGAGTCCGCCCCCACGGCCCCCATGCCCCCGTACTGCGTCTGCCCCCGCGGGACCCCCCCTGCGACCTCCGCGCCCGCCCCGCACAGCACAGCAGCGTTTGGCCCCATGCCCCCCACGCCCCTTCCCCACCCCTCTCCCCGAGGTGGGGTGTAGCTCTCAGGCAGATGTCCCCAGGGGACCTGGCAGCTTCACAAGGTCTGAAGCCTAAGCTGGCAGGTGCATGTGTGTCCGTGCACATGTGTGTGCACGTGTGTGGTACATGTGTGTGCCTGTGGACTCCCAGGTGGCTCAGAGCCGCTCACTGGACGGCAGAGCTCCTTCTCCTGCCAGAAGCGGCGCCCAGCAACGCCCCCAACCCATCCACACAAGCCCTTCCGGGGGTGCAGCCGGCGCAGGCTGTGCAGACCGGGAGCATCTTGGGAAGGTGCCCCGAGCCAGGCCCTGTTGGCTCCCCCTCCCGCCCCCCACCATTCTTAAGAGGGGGACAGATTCTCCACAGCGCCTCGGGACAGGCATCCTGGAGGTGGTGGGGAGGAGAGAAGGGCGGGGTCAGAGGCCCTTCCCGCACCTGCCCTGGTCCCACCTCCTCAGCACCCTCAGACCCCAGGCTTCCTGGGGGGACGGGACAGGCTGGCCTGCACGGACGTTGCACAGGAGATGTGTTCCAGCTCCATCTGTCACCATCTCTCGGGGGGCCTGCGCAAGCCGCTCACCGCCCCTCACCGCCCTCTGCACAGGCCCTGCCTGCCGTGGGATCCCCAGCCCGGGGTTAGTCCTCGGGTGCCTGCCCACCCACCTCACACTGACGGCCAGCCCACGCCCTGTAGGCTCCCATGGCCAGGACACGCCCTGGGCCAGGCCCCGCCAGGCACCCTGTTCTGCAGCCCTCACCTGCCTGAACCCCCAGGGCCAGAAGCCAGACACCAACCACGCCCAGCCCGGTCCGGCCCTTCTATGCAGGCTGCCCGCTGCGGGCAGGAGCACTTTCCCTGCAAACGCCCGGGCTTCCCAGCCTTGTGCAGGAAGTTCTAGGAGAAGGGGTGTTTCCCAGAGCTGCCTGTCCCCACGCGGCCCCACCAGGAGCTTCTCATCAAGCAGCTGAGGGCCAGGTGGCAAATGCCCGGAGGCCACACAGCCAGGACCTGAGGTGTGAACCTGGTTACAGGCGTGGGTCTGGGGGTGCAGCAGCGCCTCCTGGTGGCTGAGTTCCCAATTGCAGGTAAAATACAGGGACAAGGAAGCATCAAAAATGAAGGGTGTCCGGAGCCGGGCCTTGGCCACGCCCACCCCTCTCCAGGCGCACTGACCTGTCATGGAGTTCTCTGAGGTGCACAGCTGCTCCCGCAGCTTCTCCACGTCGTCGGGGTGCACCTGCTCGTACAGGGTGCTCCCGAACCACTCCGACTGCGGCTGGTTCAGCACGGGAGTGACCGAGTCCGACACGTAGATGACGCGCCCCGTCTCGGCTGCCACCACAAACAGAAACCCATCGGCCGCCTCCAGGATGAGGTGCTTCAGCTCCTGGGGAGCAAAGGCCAGAGTGGGGACAACGCCATGCCTCGGCCCCCGCCGGTGCCTTCACTTGTGTTTTCAGCTGCCCCAATACCCAGAGCGCTGAAATCTTGTTTGCCTGAGCTGGCACGGAACGTGCCATCCCCAGGACAGCCACTCCAGGCGCTGGGCCCTGTCCCTCCCACCCTCCCTGGGGACGCAGGTGAGGGCTGGTGTGGTGGGGCTGTGCCGAGGGTGGGTGTGCAGGGCAGGTGCCAGGAGCTTCGCAGAATGGCCAGCAGAGGAGCCGGCACCGCCTCCCCACCCCGCTCTCCACACTGGCAGCGACTCTCCCCCCGGCTCCGACACTTTCTAGGCACCACACAGGAGACGCCTGTGTCCGCGCCTGCCGGAGCCCCCTGCCCGACAGCCTGCGTCGCGCCTCCTCCATAGGGAGCAGGGCCCGAGCCACGTCTGCAAGGCGGAGGCAGGAGGCCCGGCCGGTCCCAGCGGCCTCGCGCTGCCGGGAGGGAAGAGGCTGTGGGATCCAGGACGGGCAGGGGCCGTCCCCGAAGGGCATGCGGGAGGCACCACGGAGTCGAGAACAGGTGCTCCTCCCTGCAGGCCCAGACGGCGAGAGGGGCCTCGGGGCAGCGGCCACAGACCTGGGCCCTGGGGTGAAATGTGGCCTGAGAGGGCCGGCCTCAGGCCAGCTGCCCTCGGGACAGACGACGCCCCGCGACACCCAGCCTCAGCCCCGCTCCCACCCTCCCCACATGGCCCAGGCAGCCAGTGCAGGAAGGCGACAGGAAGCCCCAGGGCACGGTTGCCCGTGGTGGAGACGGCTGGCAGAGGGGCCGTGGGCGCAGAGGCGGGGCAGGGGTGGGGGCAGGAGGGCACATGCCTGTCAGGCCTTGCGGGGCCACTGGCTGAGGCGGCATCTTTGCTCTCAGTCCTGGGAGACCGTTGAGGGCAGGGTGAGTTTCTGGAACTTGGGGGTTGTGGCTCCGGCAGGAGCCCATGGGACGCCCCACCTGGGTTTTGTCTCTAGGAGCGGCCCGGCCTACAGTCCACTCCGGCACTCGGGGGGCTGGGCCAGGCGTGGGCCCTGCCACGGGGCTCTGCACACGCAGCCCTGCCCACTTGGTGCTCAGCAGGGAGGCTCCGCGGCTACATGAGGCCCCGGGGGTCTGGGGTCAGGCCAGGCACACGGTGGGGTGGGGGGCAGCACTGCAGCTGCCAGGACCCGCGCGAGTCGCCGGGCGGCCATCAGCCTCCTCTCCCCACACCGTAGACACTCAGGCCCTCGTGGGTGGTGCCAGACACTGACCAGCCAGCCCTGCTGGGATGGGAAGGAAGACGCCCGGACCCCTGGGTGAGTGCGCGCCTGGCACGGGCAGCCCTACCTGCCCTGGCCCTCCTGGTCACCAGCTCCTTGCGCCGACACCTCAGGGCTCATGCCAGCCCCCCTCCTGCCCACGGCAGGACAGTCAGGGTGCTCCCGCCCCAGCCACCCCCAGGCCAGCACCCACAGTACCTGCTCAGTGAGGAAGGAAGGCTTGTAGGCGCCGTCCGTGGATTTGTTGCCGGTGCCCCGCATGGACTTCATGTGTGACACGGCCATGCGCAGGATGGTCAGCTTGTCGGGCTTGCGGGCCAGTGCGCTGCAGGTGGGCACCATGTCCGACAGCTCCGTGATGTACTGGGTCATCTTGTTCCTCCGGCGCCGCTCGATCTCACTGTGGTTCTCTCTTCCCAAGCACCGGCGGGGGCGGCCAGGGTCAGACGGGACTCTGACCCCGCGACCCTGACCCCACAATCCCGCGACCCCGAGCGTCGGCCCGTCCCCCTGGAGTCCCCTCATCCCCTGCCGCTCCCACCTGCCCAGGAGCTGCTGAGTAGCAGCCGCCTGTCCTCCTGGGGGCCTCTGGCCCCCCACTGTCCCCCATCTCTTCTCTGGCTGCCTCCCAGAACTGCGCACGGAGACCCTGGGCTCTGGGCACTCAAGGTGACCCTTGGCCGCCGCCTCCTCGTCGGAGCAGAGGCTCAGTGGTCAGCTGCGGGTGGGCTGGGCGGGCAGTTCCCGGGGGCCCTGTGTGTGCGTGTGTGTGGCGGGGGGGGGGGCACGCGTGCGCGGGTGTCTGTGAGCGACAGCTGAGTGGATGGTGCTGCGCGTGGACCGGCCAGGTGGTGCGGCAGCTCCTCATCTCTGCACTGTCCCCACCAGCCGCTGGGGGCCTGGGACTGAGCTGAGGGCCAGGTGGGCCTGGGCAGGGGTCAGCGTCCCAGGGTGGGCGGTATGAGGCCTGCGCGGGCCCATGAGGGAGCGAGAGGGCGGGTCCCTCCTGGCCTCGGTGCAGGGAGGGGCCTCCGAGCCCTGCGGGGGGTCGGGCCGAGGCCGGAATCAGGGCCCGCCCTGGAAAGCCTCTCTCCCAGCACAGATACCGTCCACACTGCGCGGGAGGGGACGCCAGGACAGGGCGCTGAGGCGACGGGGTGTCCAGCAGGTGGGACAGCGGGGCCCACACCAGCCGCCAGGCCCTTGTCTGCACCCCCACGGCCCGAGCCCTCAAACAAAATGACACGGAGCCGGGCCGGGCTGGCCGGGCACTCATGTGGGCACCGCAGAGAAAGGACGCCCTGGCCAGGCGGTGGCCCTTGCCTGAACAGGACCCTGAACCTCCCCACCAGCTGGGCCACCGTGAGCTGAGGGTGCCAACCGCCCGGCCCCGGGCTCTGCCCCCAGCGTCACTGCCAGGCCCCTGTGCTGCCTGCTGCGGTCTGTTTCTCTGAACCCAAGTCCCGGCCAGGCCCTGAGAGGATGTGCTGACACCACGCCCCGTCGAGCCAGAGGCCGCAGGCACGTGAGCACCGCCTGGCGCGGCCTGACTCACGGCCGAGTCGCCAGACAAGCCGCCAGCAGGGCCCAGGGAGCAGTCACCACACTGCGGTGTCCCCGCCCGGTCCACTCCGACAAGGCATCGCTGCCCCTAAGGGCCGGGGAGTGGACTCACCTGGAGAATTTGCTGGGGCCTTCGCCATCCTCGTCATCGAAGTCCATCCTGAAAAGTCAAGGGCATGGTCAGCTGGTCTGTCGTGGGAGCAGCTGGGCAGGGCCCGCCTGGGCCGAGCACCAGGCACGAACGCCCAGCAGCGGGGCGAGGACACCCAGCGGGGGGAGCTTGGTGTGAGCCCCAGCCCAGGGGCCTCCTCTCAGGGCCCCACGCGCTGGCCTGCGGGCAGTGGCACCGGGCACCTGGCTAGCTGCAGGGCCTGGGGTGCAGGGTTGGGGGAGATGTGGTCAGCCGGGGCTGACTCCTCACGTTGGCCTGTGAGCCCAAATGGATCTCCGGCTCATGGCAAGGAGATGGGGAGGGCCTGGCGGCCCTCGCTCACCGACACCCCAAGTCCCTCATCCAGGGAGCCCAGCCCTGTGCCTGGAGCTCCATGCAGATGTGGGGGGCAACAACGCCCGGCGCCCCAGTGTGCCAGCATTGGGGCTCCTGCCCGGGGGGGCGGGGGCCCTTGAGGGAGGGCATCTCGGGGCCCCTGCACCCCATTTTGCTCTGGGTGGGCTTGGAGGAGGCGGGGAGCAGCCCCGTGGAGCCAGGCAGAGGGGCACCCTGCAGTGAGGGGCCGGGCTCGAGGCGGGGAAGGGGAAGGCGCAGCTGGAGCAGCGGCTGTGCCCGAGGGGCCGGGGGCAAAGCACAGCCTCTGGGCTCGAGGCCGCTTGGGCCGGGGCTGGGCCCGGGCCGGGAGGAGCTCCCTGCCTCGGCTTTGCTCCGAGCTTAGTGTGGCCAGTTGCAAGCAAGGGTTTGGCCCGCACTGCCCTGGAGCCCCGAGCCCACGGGCTGAGCCACCGGCCAGAAGAGCAAGAAGGACAGAAAAGCAGCGACCAAAAAATGCCAGCTGGGGGCAGTTACAGGCCAGACCCCACACAGGGCACCCGCGGCCTCGGCGCCGCCCCCCACGGCAGCCACAGAGCCCAGCGCGGGCAGCGAAGTCGGGCGCGGGGCCACGCTGCCCCCCAGTGGCCAACCGGGGCGGTGCGGGCCGGCGAGCAGCCGGGAGGGTGGGCAGCGGGCACGACAGCGGGCTCCTGCCTTGGAAGCCGCCGCCACAGCCCGGGCAGCGCGGCCCGGGACCCGGCCCAGGCAGGAGACAGCGCGGCAGAGCAGCAGGGCCGGCCAGGGGCTGTTCCCGTGCTGCGGCCAGACCCGGTCCCGCTCCCGCCCGCAGATGGCAGAGGCACCAGGGCCTCGCGGTGGGCAGCCATGCCCCCCAACCCCCCCCCGCTCCCCTCGGACTCCGCCCGCCCCGGCGCCAAGGCTCCAGCCGCCTCTGCCAGGGGCCAGCGCTCCCCGCTCAGGCCGCCACCAGCCCGGGAGCCACCCCGGCTGCCCCAGGGCGGCGTCAGGCTGCGACAGCCGCAGGGCTGGAGGCCTCTCCGGGAGCAAGAGCCACAGGACCACACACAGGCGCACGCCGGCCCCGGCGGGCCCCAGGCCTGAAACCAGGGCAGAGCCAAGGCCGGGGTCCGCCCAGCCCAGGGACGCAGGAGCCACCCTGTGGCGGAAGTCGGGGCGCCCGGCACGCGGGAGCCAGCCCGGGCAGCGGTCACTCACCCAGAGCGTCGCTTCCCTCCGCGAGCGGGCAGGGCCCCGGCCATCCGCACCTGTCCCGGGGCCGCCATGGGGGCGACGGGCAGCGTCACGGACCCGGGAATTTCTGCAGCCATTTCTGGAATTCGGCAAAGAGAAGAGGTCATGTCAGGCCGGAGCAAGGCACCAGGGCACTGCCTGCCCCTGCCCTGCGGCCTCCACTCAGTCGGCGCCGGGAGATGGGGCAGCTGTCCCGGGCCCCCTGGAGGAGGCAGCATGTGCAGGGCCCGGGGCACCGTCTCTGCCACCAGCAGCGGCCACTCGGGTGCGGTGAGCGGCCCCCGGGCAGCGCTGCCCATGCGTCAAGCTCAAAGGCTCTCCCCGCGCTACCGCGGGACTCAGCCCCCCGAGACCAGCCAGCGCCCCTGCCGTGCCCACGATGGGCAGCAAGGCCAGAGACGCAGCAGGGCGCCTTCCCTGAGCACACCCCTAAAGCACAGCGACCGCCGGGCCCTGGATGCCTGCATGTGGCACCCCAGAGGCTCCTCCTTCCACGTCCACAGGTTTGGAACCGGGACCGGCAGATGGACCCACTCAGGCCCTCCTGCAGCCAGCCCAGGGCCCCACCCAGGCGCCACAGGACCCCGCCCAGAGGTGGGAAGGACAAGGCTGCCAGCGGGGCGAGGCCCTGGCGAACAACCCACCACAGGCCGACCCCTGACACAGAGGCCGGAGAATGTCTGGTTTTCTCTCCGGTTTATCTTAGCGTTTGGTCGAGGTAGAACATACCATCCTGGGATTCGCTCGCGCTGAGCCATAAGCCAACCCTCAGGGATGCCCAGGCCCCCGCAGTTTCTGCCGGGCCCTCCCAGGGCAGAGGGGCCTGTCGCGCCCGCCATGGCCCGGGCCACCCTCGCAGCCCCGAGTGCCTGGACACCCTCGGATGTGGCGCTCCTGCCATTTCACCCAACTCCTTGATTCAAATACCCTTCGCCGATCTGTCTAAATTTTCAAAGATTAAAATTCTATGGACTGTGGGCCTCCCCGGTGGCGCAGCGGTTGAGCGCTGGGTTGTGAAGCTGCCCGCAGCCTCTGCAGTGCCGGTTCGATCCCCGGCTGCTCCCCGGCCACCGGGCGAGGGTCCCGCATGGCGCGCAGACCTCTCCTGCCGCCCGCTGCTCCCCTCAGCAGTGTCCTTCGGTCCTTCTGCCTGCTCTGCTCCCCGCTCTGGCTCTGGTGAATTCTCTTACCCTCCCGCGCTTCTGACTGTACCCAGTGCTTGTATAAGTAAATAAAAAATAAATAAATCTTTAAAAAAAAAATTCTATGGACTGTAAGTAACACTATTCTCTCATTTCCAATCGGTGACCGATTCAGTCTTCGTGTGCTGCTCACTGGCCAGACCTTCTGGAACGTGTCCAGTCAGAGACCTACAGCGGGTGTCAGAGACCTGGGCCCGCAGCAAACCTCGGCTGGGCGCCTCCTGGGGGAGCCGTGGCCTCCTGAGAGCCACCGCCATGGGCAGCTGGGAAGTCAAGGATGAGACACATGGCCGAGCACAGCCCACACCCGGTGGGCAGCACGTGCCGGGCCAGCAGGACCCAGGCCTGGCAGGCACGCCTTGGCATCGTCTGAGTCAAAGAAGGGATTCCAGTGAGCACCTCTGTTCCTGGGGCACCGGCTCAGCCAGGGCTGTGCCTCAGACCATCCCCCAGGCGCACAGGGGTGTGCCCCGGGCCGGAACTGCAGCAGGCAGGACCCCTCCCTTGGCAGCAGGGTGATGGGCAGAGGGGCACTGCGGCTGGACTACAGCACCTCTGTACCCACACTGCCTCCCCTTCCACCTGCTGGCAGCCCACCGTGCACAGGGAGGGGTGGCAGGCAAGCCTGAGGGCACCCACACCCTCTCCCAGGGCTTCACACTCGCCGCACGCACAATGACACCTGCATGTGCCCGCACGCCCACACCCCACGCGGTGCTCACCCACGCGTGCACATGTCCTCGATGCCCCCGACACGTGCAGCTTCCTGCTGCCACCACCCACCTGGGCAGGCACAGTTGCCCCCCACGGCTCCGGGACCCACTGCCCATGGGACCTTCAGAGGTGGCCCAGGCCGGCAAGGGCCCCGCACTCTGGACAAGCCACCCCCGGAGACTGGAGGACGCAGGCCGTGTTCCACCCTGCAGGGGAGAGGCTGGACAGACCAGAGCCTCGCCGCCCGATCACCCACATGCCATGGAGGGCGCTCGGCCGCCCGGGAGCTCTGCCTGCACCAACTCCCTGCTCCCTCAGGCCTCCTGCACTCCCAGCCTCCTTCGCCTGGTTCCCACGGCAGCTGTCCCGCCACGGGGTCGCCCCTGTGACGGCGGAGTCGTCCTCGGCACACCCCGTCTCCAGGGCCCAGGGCCTTTGCACACGCTCTGCCCCCATCACTGAGCCTCCCTCCAACCACTGGAGAGTCTACACTAGTGCCGCCTTCTCCAGAAGCCCGTCCCCGGCCTGGGTCTGCGCCATGGCGGTTAGTCCCCAGGAAGACCCCGCAGGTCACCGCCAGGCAGCCGAGATGGTGCAGGCAGGGAGCCTCCGAGGCGGCCTTCTGCCAGAAGGGACAATGCCTGGACAGTGCTGCTGCCAGACCTCAGCCCCTGCCCCACACCAGGACGCCGGGGGCAGGAGAGAGATCCAGCCCCGCACCCACCCTCGCGCTGGACATGCCCGGAGGACGAGAGCCCCGCCTGCTGGCTGGGACGGTGCCTGCCGGGGCGCCCTCGTCCTCGCCGGGCTGTGAGGAAGGCTATTCCCAACATGGGGCGCAGCGGGGAATGACGGGGCCCTGGCCCTGCGGGCTCCATGGAGCAAGGGACTGCACTGTGGGCACCAGAAGGGCCCAGAAGGCCCCCAGAGGTGGCTGTGGACGCGCTGGGAGTGAAGGGGTGAAAAGGCGCCCCCACACAAGCTCTGTGTGCCCCCGAGTGCCCGAGACCCCACCAAGGGGGCTTGCCCACCGCCAGTTACTGGGCCCCAGCCCCCCACTGCACCCCAAAAATCCAGGGCCAGCCCTGCACCCTCACCCCCCCGCTCGGGAGCCCTAGCATGCTCGGCTAATGCCAGATGGACCCGTGAGGCGGCGGCCGGAGCGGGGGCTCGAGGCTGCCAGGGTGTCACCAAGGTCGGGGAGCTGCGCCGGGACCCAGAGAGCTGACGGGGCGGCACCGCTCACGCCAGGCCCGAGGCCGGCCAACTGCGGCCCCGAGTGGCTGCCCCGACCCAGGCCCGGGCGTCTCAGCTGGAAGCGGGGGGCACCAGGCACCCCACCTTCACAGAGATGAGAAGCTTCTCCTCTTCGCCGGGGGAGGGGCCGGCCCAGCTCCTCGGTGCCGCTCAAACAAATGGACGCCGGCCGGTCTGGGCAGGGGAGGCGGCGGCAAAGCCCGGCAGATGTCGCCCGCCCCAGGAGCCCACCCCTGCGCCCGCCCCCGGCCCTGCACCTGCCCCAGCCCTGCGCCCACCAGAGGACACCCTTGCGCCCGCCCAGCCCTGCGCCCACCGGAGGACGCGCCTGTGCCCGCCCCCGGCCCTGCGCCCACCCCCGCCCCGCGCCCACTGGAGGACGCCCTGTGCCCGCCCCAGCCCTGCGCCCACCCCCGCCCCGCGCCCACTGGAGGACGCCCTGTGCCCGCCCCAGCCCTGCGCCCACCCCCGGCCCTGGGCATGGAGGAGGAGCCGGCCAGAGACCGGCCTCTGGATTCTGCTCAGGGCTGCGTCCAGGCTGCTGGCCCTGCCTGGGCCGTGACTCAGTGTGAGGCCGCCAGCGCGTCTCCCATGGTGGCCGCGTTAACTTGGGCCGGGCCGGGGCGCGGCATCCAGGCTGTCACCCAGCACCCGGGAGGGGCTCCCGCCCGGCTCTGGGCCGCTGCCCTTGGCCGGGCACCTCCCTCAAGGCCAGCGGGCAGGGGTCTGGCAGCAAGGCAGTGGGCACCCCAGCAGCCAGACACACTCCCCCACCCACCTGCCCCCACCTGGGCCGGCTCCTCCTGGACCCCTCACCCATGGGCACCGACCCCGCCTCTGTGCCAGGGCCCCCCGCTCTGTGCCGGGGCCCTGCTCTGTGTGCTCCCCTACGTGACGTGCAGCCAGCGCCAGGCTGAGCCCCTCACCTGCTCAGCGGAGCTGCCCCTCTGCTCCAGACCACTGAGTGCCACCCTTCAGCACGGGGCCCCCCGAACCTGGCCCCGGGGCGCAGCCTGTCCCCCTCCCCTGTGTGGCCGGGAGTTGCTGACAAGTTAATCCTCCAGGACGGTCCCCAGCCTCCCTCAGTCACCCGAGGAGGTTGCGTGACCCTGACTGTCTCCCGCACGGCCTCCGAGGGCCGCGGCAGGCCCGGAGCAGCCGCCCCTCAGGTCCTCGGGGCCAGCTCCCCGGGTCGGGGCGGCGGACCCCAGCCACTGCCTGGAAGGACCCTTCACGCGGCTGCCGGCTGTGCCGCCCGGGCGCCTCTGCTGGGAAGCGGCCGCCCCTCGGCGCCCACCCGTGTGTGGGTGCCCAGAGCTGGGGTGTTCTCGGAGCTCCGGGCCCTGCAGCGGTGCAGCCCCCCCGGCCAGCACCGGGCGCCGAGACCGCCCTGCAAGGCCACCCCCGGCGCGAGCTGCGGAGCCAGAGGCCCGCGCGCAGGCAGACGCCCAGGGCGGAGCCCCGTTGTTAAGAACCGGGGCGCAGTCACGGGGTCTGGCCCCCGGAAAGGGCCCAGATTCTCCCCCTGCAGGCGAGCGCGGAGCCGCCCAGGGCGCGGGCGGGCGGCGCAGGTGCCGGCCTCCCCCTCGCCGGGCGCCGGCCTGTCTCCGCCGGGGCATCGCGGACCCCAGGGCGACGGGGGGGGGCGCCCCCCGCGCGGCCGGGGTGACAGTGCCGGCCCCCACCCGGCCCCCACCCGGCCCCCACCCGGGCCGCGCTCGCGCTACTCACCCGGGGGTTGGCGGCCGCCGGCGTTGCCATCTTGCTCGGCGGCCGGCGCGGGCGCGGGGGGCGGGCGCGGGGGGCGGGCGCAGCCGGCGGGGCGCGGGGGGCGGGGGGGGGGGGCGGGGGCGCAGCCGGCGGGGCGCGGGGGGCGGGGCGCGGGGGCGCAGCCGGCGGGCGCG